GTTTGTTTGTTCAAGAAGTGTCTATTCTATTGTTGCATATCTCAAACTTTAGAGGCAGGCTTGCGGTGTATTCAGTATTTGATAATGTTGTCTCCAGGTACCTCTGTGCTGATTTACCCAACAGTGTGTTCATAAAAGCCAAACCATGTACCGCAAACAAACATTGCAGTGAAGCAAGATTTGGTGAAGTGATTTGGTTGATTCCCAAACTGCAAACAACAATGTCATTTGTTAAAGTATCGGAGCAATTGCATTACAATTTCCATTTAACTCGTCTGGAAACAAACTCAATAATAAAGTGTGACGTGCAAAGGGAGGCCATTGATGGAGGCTAAACTCTTGTTATAGTCCTGCTTTAAATGTAAAGTGTTCCCTGCCACCAATAGCTGTTAACTTTAATGAGTTCAATCATCACAGTTGACTTGTTTTAGAGACATCGGACATCAGTCTGTGGCTCTATCTTGAGTTCTCAAACTGTTTCCCGCCCTCATACGTGCCTCGATTGCATAAGAAGACACCTGACAAGATTGAAACTGAATCGATGCTTAAAAGCAACTGCTTTGTTTTGTGAGGTTGGAAATTAACACGGGAATTGAAAAATTGCTTTTGAAAATATACAGTTTCTCAAGGATGTCATTTTTGTGTTTCTTTGTTCCCCATATTTCTGTCAACATAATGCCATCCACCCGAATGCTGAAAGATCTGCGTCCCTGCTCTTTTCCCCTTCTCTATGTTTCCTGCCTGTCTCTGGTGCTTGTGTGAGTACAGCAAGGATTGTTTGAATCCCCCTTTAACACACAGTGATAAGGTGATATTTCTGAGTTATAGCTCCCAGCTGTCAGGATGATTTGTAGCATCGCATGCTATAATCAAAATGATCAGAAATATACTTCCAGCGAAAACGACATTTCACATTTCCCCGTTGTGCTGAACATATCATTTTATTTGAATCTTTTTTTGTGGGCAAAGCTGGACTGACAGCCGAGGTCGTACACATTGTTGGTTAGCAGATGTTAGAGTTTATACTATAACAATGACACATAAAGGTACCCAGTGGAAACTCATTGGATGATTATGGGTAAGGCCCTGGTCAGACAAAGCATTCAAACATAAAAAAAGAGCAGCTTGCTGAATTAATTTTTTTGTGATTGTTGCAACCACAAAATGAGCGGCCCTCCCATTTCAGCTGATTGGAAAATGGGGGAAAAGACAAATGATATTGGACACTTTCCTACTCTTGAGTTGCAGTTTGTTCAACTCAAAGTGTTCAGGGCGCTTCTGCAAAAACTAGGATTATAAATCACAAGTTTCATCACCATACATTGTTTGATCAATTCCTTGGAAAACAATACGCTATTTGCCTACGCCATAAAGTCTGCCAAAAAAAAAACCATTGATTTGATTATATTCAGTGACCTGCGATCGATGAGAAAAGAAAGTTATAAATTAAAAACACTTAAATAATCTTTACTGTGCTTCACTGTGTTTCATAAAGGAAGATAAGTTAACTAAAATATATTCAGATCATGTTCAATATACCTGTTCACAGCAAATAGAGTCAAATATCTGATGCTTGTGAGACATTTACACAAGAAATATGAAGTAGCTGCTGAGCAAACTTGTGCTACTTAGTGAAATGTGCACACTGTGTTTGGAGGATCAGTGGTAAGAAAAGCAGCACTTGATTCCATGTGTACTGGAAGATATACGTCTGCCCATGAACCATGATTTCAAATGAAGACAACATGAGTAATCAATTACATGTGTTTGATGTAGTTCTACCATTTAGCTTTCCTCAGGATGAGTGGATTATAGTGGCAGGTAATGGTTCATTGAGCTACAGCCAGAAGGAGCTTTTCATAGGTGGTAGCGCTGTTACGGTTTGTACAGTGTTGGATTCATTTCCTTTCTGGATTTAACGGAACCCTGACATCTTACTGCACAGCTGGCATGCTGTACAAGACTGGAAGTTAGTAGTATTTCAATTATAGAATCCAGATTCAATGCCTCTCAATGCTGTAAGAAGCACATGAGTTAATACATGGGGAGGTCTTTGACACCGGTGCACTCCAGGGATCAATATCTCAGGAGATCCATACTGTGTTTCCAAAGGCCTGGAGTTACTGTGGCTGCTTTTCTGACCTTTTTAAGATGCTTCCTGTCTGGCTGACCTGCATTGATCTGACCTGGGGGAGAGCACCGAGCCTGTCAGAGACTGAGCTGCGAGTGGTCAGTGTGTCCATATAAGTGTGTGAATGCATGCATACTTCTGTGTTCCGTATGTGCGCAAAGTGTGGAGACACTTGGTCCAACGCTGACAGCGACCCTTCGGCATGCAGCGGCTAGTGAGTGGCTAAAGAAGTCTTCAAGGTCATGACACATGCACACGCACTGTGCAATCGCACTTCCTCCTGAGTCAACAGGCTGCAAAAGGTGTAAATCTAAACACGCTAAGATTAGTCTGTATTGAGCAGTAAAATACTGATCATCGCAGCAGATTTCAGTTGTTTTGAATGTTGTAAAGTTAATAAAGGCAGCAGATCTTTTTACAGTGTAAAACATTTTCAAGAACTTGAACGCAGTAGTGACTCCTGAAGTACATTGTTATTTAAGATTTGTGAAAGATGTCTTGAAGCAAGGGATGTGGATAATAAGATTAGTGACAAATGTAAAAAAGGGAGATGACAATGCTTGTGTCAAATCTGGCTGATGGAGAATTGCATTTGCCTCATTAACGTTTGTTCTTGGATTTGAGAAAATGGTATTTGAGAATCTCGTTGTTGACCACATTATTGTTATCTTGCTATCTCTTCATCTTACATTAATCATGTTTATTTTAGAACAGATGGAACAAGATATGATGTGAGATAATTGCACTTGTCTGCACAGCACATGAACTCGTTTCATTTGACTTGAGCATTTCTAGAATCAAGTCACAAACTATTATTGTTGTTTTTTTGTTCGAATTTCAGTTGGTGAGTTAAGAGGTTAGTCGGCCACCTATAGCAGGGCTCCAAATACTTTTTTTCTGTGTACATGCACTCATATTTACCTGCATTATTTTGTTTTTACTGCCCCATTGAGTATTTGTCCTTCCTTCTTAGCACTTCCAAAAGAAGTCAACATCAACAGCTGCAATATTTCACTTTTTATGACGGCTCAAATATGAAGGAATCGCCAACTGTCAATATAACTACATAATATATACTCTATAGCATTGTTGCACTGTACATGCCAGTATATTTAGACGTTCTTCACAAAATGAAAAGTTACAATCAGTCCTCAGAACCCAATCAAGCCAACAAACCAATGAGTGAAGCTTTTATGAGCTGTTGTCATTAAGTACAAAGTGACTCTTGGAGCTCAGACACGCTGCTCTCTTCCTTGCGGAAAGAAGTGGTAGAAAATATACAAGTACATTTTCTCTTGCACTGTAATTAAGTATAATTACATTTTCATTTAGTAATGTTTATTTCACAAGTTTAGTTACTTTGCAGATTCAGATCATTAAATAGAAGATATGATTAACAATTTTGTTTTAAATATATTAATATAAGATGAAATTCACAAGCTACATAGCAGTATTTAAAGCAATCAAAATTGAGTACTTCTTCCGCCATGGACTGACAGTAACCAGGAGAACAAGATCTCTTAGTGTGATAAAAGCTCTGACAAAAAGTTACAGCTACGTAAAATAAGTAAGGTAGTGCAGGAAATGAGAAATAACCTCAGCCACTTTCTCCTTTCAGAGGACAATGAAATAACATTTTTGGCAGAAAACCATTGTTGCAGTCAGTCTGTAGTTTAAAGTGACGTCAGATTAAATCATACTGCAGTGCTACTTCGTGTCAGAGGCATTTCAGTGTTCCCTTTTGGTTGCGGAAAACAAATTTACTGAGCTCTTATCCTGAGAACACAAATACGCAGAACACTGACTTAATGAAAACAATATTTTTATTTTGCTTATGTGTAACTTCTTATTTACACAAATTGTTGTTTATTAAAGTTATCTACTGCTGTCTGTATAAACGGACCATTAATACAGCTGGAGAAAAGGAGAATGGGATGTTGCGCAGGTACAAAATACACAGGTATACAGTTACAGTACAGTAAATGCTATTTGGATAGCCAACATTCATGCACGAGAGCTGTCAACCTTAGGTTCACAGAACATACTGCACTGAATAAGGCATACAAGCTGTTGCTGAATTTACAAAAAAAGCTAATATCTCAAAGTACTAAGTTAAAGACAACCAGTTTTGCTGTTTGCTGAAATACTTTGACTTAGTACTTCAAGACATCCTATGACCTGGATGACTGAGAATCTTCACAGACACAAGAAAGCCAAGTACAGTAACTATACAGGTGCATTATGGTTCACCACATTTCTTATTGTCTTGTATAAGGTCAAGTGCAAAATCTTTTGACAGGAAAAGAGTACAGTGATAAATTGAAAGCTAAATGGAGGAAGTGAAAGGCAGGAATAAATTAGCAGATGATAAATAAATGGCAAGGAAAGAATGGAAACAAAATGAACAATTAGTGAACACGGTCAAAGTGTGACTAAATTATTAAAATGAACCTTTCGTTTTACAGAGAAAAGGGAACTAGAAATTACAGGATGTTCATTGTTCAGTGTTTCTAAAAGTGACTAAGTTAAAGTGCCATTATTAAATTGTGTTACCTGCAATATGTGTCATAATAGACATTTAAATGTTTTCATTTTGTGCGTCCATTTATTATCTCCGCCAGGAGGATCATGCGATTGCTAGTGTGTGTGCATGAGGGCCTGTGTATGTGAGTGAGCGTGCGCCCCTGTGTCTGTCCACGGCTAATCTTGCATTTTGCTGCAGCAAAACTGCATAATATTTTGGGTGCCCAGTTATGGCTGGATGCTCAAAGAACTTATGGTTGCAGTGACTCACACTTTTTAAAAACACTTTTTTTTTTGTTGTTGTTTGTTTTATACTGCCATTGAGGGAGGGGGGGGGGGTGTAATTGTGAGTTGTATTCATTCAATCACACAATACAACAGTGGTTGTCACAGACACACCTGGCAGAGATGCATTCTACTGAGAAACTATTATGTTTCCACATGGAGAAGATCATAATTAGTTAACTCTTTGTATGAAAGTAGCAAATTGCAAGATGTTGGTAAATAAATTAGTATAAAATGCCCAAAACTAATTGGGGAAATTACATAACTAAATAAATGGATAAATAAATAAATAAATACATTAATTACAACATTCAGATGCAACCATCTATTTTTCCCATGTTTTCCTATCACTTGTACAGTATGTGCCACGGCTTAAGAGTCGTCCTCAGTTTTGATGATGTGGAAAAGTGTTACATTAAAAAGGACCTGGTGGCCGTTGTTCCAGCCGTAGAGTGCGCGGTCCCTGGCATTGTAGTCCAACATAGACATGTGGAAGTACTGGTTATGAAAGGGAATGTCTGTATACTCGTATGTGGAGGTTTTAGTGGAGTAAGCATAGTACACCTTGGCACCGGTCAGGTGGGAGTTAGTGATGTAGAGCGTCCCACAGATCATAAAAGACTCGCCAGCGTTCCTCTTTGAGTATTCTGTGTTCCACGTGTTGAGGATCTGGAGCGTGTCCGGGTTCAGCTGGCTAATGACTATGTTCCCAGCGTTTTGGTTGGTGGCGTACACTGCCCACAGGCCCAGCTCGTCCGCCATAATATCGATGTCGGAGAAGCCTCCCCACGTGTAGGGGTAAACGTTATGGAACCCCGCTGACTCTAGAGCCCTCTGGGTGACCACACGGCCCGTCTCAAAGCTGTACCTCACTATGATGTTGCTCTGCATCTTGTTGTAGTACAGAGAGCCATTGTACACCACATGGTCGGTGCCAGCCCATTTGAAAGGCAGGTTGTAGGTTCTCGACTCGACTCCTGCCACAAAATCAGCTAAGGATTTATACTCTTTTACTATCTTGTTGTTGGTGTAGCTGTCCATGTACCAGATCTGAGGACAAATAAGTACAGACAATGTTCCTGTGAAATAATAACCACCTGTAAAAAAAAAAAAAAAACTCTATCTATATAATATGTCTATGAAAAAGTATAGGAGATGGGGCTTTCACTAAAAAAGAGGATGAAAGAATACAGGAGCTCCATAAAAGTGGAAATAAAAAGACCCGGACATTCGTTGTAGGCCAAGTCCAATGATTTGAATTAGTATTGATAAGGTCAGAGTGGGACCAAGGGAGCGCAGCTTTAACTACCCTCGGAAAGAGAAAAAGGCCTTTTGGATTTATCATCTCAGAATACTGCATCCGAATGAAGATTTTAGTATTTGAGAGTTTTTATAAAAGATAGTTTTGTAGTTTTTTTTATTTCTTTATTTTTGTAGTATTTTAATATTTGCTAACCGGTGTAAGATCTGTTGTAGAGTTCAAACTGTAAGCAGTGTTATGCCTGACTAAATAAAAGCTTCTTCCTTTCTGTGACACTTGTTCAACTTGAAGAGCAACTTGACCCTGATTACCGAAAGTAAACATTCAGTCTGTCGACTCTGCTTGTTTGCGCGGTGGTTTTAAGTAACAGTTTGTTGTGTACTTTTATTTTTAAATATCTAGGTTTAAGGTGCAGCATCCTTTAAAAAGCTGGCCATTAATGTGTCTAGTGCTCAGGGGATAATTGACAAAGTATGCAAAGGCTGTGCTTTTACCTCTCCTGTTAAACACGCTGATGAAGGCACTGTGTTGAGTGAGTTTTCCCATTCATTTAAAAGAATGCCCAAAGTGTCCAGAGACGGACATCAACATTTATGTTTGATCCCAGCAGTAAAAGCGTACAACAAACTTTAGTGAGTATAATATTGCAAGTCAAGAAATCTCTCCCCAGTGAACAGCAGGAGGGGGAAGCAGTTGTATGTAAATTATTAAATGGCCCCGCGTTGCTTCAAAGGCTCGCGACATACAGCAAAGACCATTAACTCGGCTCACCCGGTTGTTTTTGGGAGACGCCTGTGGGTCGGTCATCCAGGCTCCAAATCTGGTCCCTGAAGTTTTCACAGTCAGCGGCCCGGTGATCTTCATTAGCTTGCCACATGCTGTGGACATATCACACAGCTTTGGTCACATACAACACAAACTGCTGCGGCTCCACATGATAAAACTACAATTCATATTGCCAGACACTTTCATTGTATCAAATGACAGTATTCCCTATTAAGTATTTAACCGCTGTTTTACCTAATCAATCAAAGCTTCACGCACTATGAATGCTGTAGTAATGCTCTCGAGTGCAGGCAGAATTCCAGCCACATATCATTAGCATTCACATGTTAGCTGTTCACGTTGACACTTTGACAGGTTCCATCAGTGTTGAAAACATGGCAGTTGGCAAATTGGAGTTTAGTTCTGCAAACCATTATCAGAGGCAAAGCTGCTCTGAAGGCAGAATCACATGAGCACACACTGTGCTTTAGGGCTGTCTAAACTGGCCAAAGAAAACATTTGAATATTCATTCTAAAAAAAACACAAAGGTTCGAACAATTCTAATATATATATTTTTGCGCATTATGTCCACGGCATCGTGTCCTAACTGGCCGCAAGCAACACAGCACCTTTCTGGGCGACGCTCCGTTTCTGACCTGAGCTTTTGGTCAAACGTCCTGTTTGATGGTGAAGTTAAAATGAGAAGTTATCTATATGAGGTTGAATTGCACCTCCTTCAGCTTGTCCAACCCCCAGTGAAAGCGGTTTTAGAAGCGTTAATGACGTCACTCGCACGTCTCTCGGAAAAGATGAGTTTCCATTATATTAATTAAATCACATCAATTCACACTGACTCTGTCACACTGACTCTTTGTGCATTTAGTGAAGCGTAATCTGCATAGACTGCTGTTTTAAAATGCATAAATATTTGTTGAATTCATGAACTGTATCTATATTGATCGATGAAGCCTCCTATTCTGTTTGTGAGCTCGCCTGTTTCACTACAGGCAGATTCCCCTCACTTGCTACGGTGGGCGGGGAAATAAAATCAATGAATCAATACATGGGCCTGCAGATACTATTGATTTGAAAACTATTTTGGTTAAGTAAATGTCTGCCTTTCTGTCAGCCAGCCTTGTGAAGGCAGGTTAGCGAGCCGCTGTCTACTCAGCTCCCGGGCAGAGACATTTACCGGAGACGGAGTTGGTGTCGATTGCATGTCGGAACACTTAATTGCGGCTCACGTCTCACTTCCAGTGCGGATTCCCAGTAAGACGTTACGATAAATTTCATTTGATGAAAGTGACATTGTTTGACTCCTGTCATGCGGTGCATTTAGTGTGTGTGAGCCAGATAGTTGCTTTAGTGCTGCTGAATTCTTGAGCACATTTAGATGTAAAAAAAAATCCTAAACTTGTAAATGACCAAATAGTTACATTTTTTATTTAATCCAACCATTTGGCATTACCTTTGTGGCCAACTTGATGGCGCACTGAGGCCCACTGGCTGAGTATAGCTAAATTAAACATCAATGAGTGAAGCAAAGGAACAGGCGTATACTTAGCATTCAGGATGTTGCACTGTATTAGCTTTATTTAGCAGCCACAGCTTCCTGATGCTACCACCTTTTACCTCTAGCTTGGGAAATTGTTCTGTGAGGATTTCTCAACATGATTTCTGCCTCCAGTAGCAGTTCTACTATCCCCTGCTCTTTATCTAAAATGCCAATCTGCTGATAGCTGCAAGAAATGCACTTATGATTCCTCTGCCATCAAATAATCTGGGCTCACCGTGCCTGAATCTGCTTGTTCTGCGATGGACTTACTGAGTTTGCTCATGCAGTTGTGGAGCCGATTTTCCAGGTTTAGGACCCTCTGTTGCAGCTCCTCGTAGTCGTAGGCTCCCATTTCCTCCTGGATGGCCATCAACACGGCAGACAGGTTCCTGATCTCCTCTTTGAACTGGGAGATGACCTTGGCATCTGTCTTGTATTGCTCCAGGACGGGTATCAGCGGTTGCAGGGACTCCATCTTTCCCTTTAGCTCCTAGAAAACGGCAAAAATACACCACTGCAAAGTACCTGTCTTTGCAAATCTCTCAATGCAGAAAGACAGTTCAGTTTGTTTGTAATGAAGCTGTTTCAAGGGCGTTTTACGGTACAAGATTAAACATCTTTAATAACCAAGCAGAACATTGAAGAAAGAAAACTGAAGCACATTTTCTACTCCCTTTGTTTCACTTGTTGATCTTCTTCTGCATCTTCTTACAGTAGTGGGTACATCCTTTTGTTTTTCACAAAATTCAGTCTTCTTACTGAAAACATTGATTGAAAATTTGGTTTTCTTGAAAAACTATTTTGTAATAATTGCAGGAAAGATTGTCTGCATTAAAAGTTTATCTTGAGAAAGAGCGAGGAGGGAGAAACTCCAGTAAGAGCCAAACAAATTTCACTTATGGATGATAATAATCATCATAGTAATTGCCCCGATTATTATTGATGTGTAATGTCGGGGCCAATTATACAATGTCAAATTACATGGTAATCCTCTCTTTTCTGTGAGAATACAAAGTTCTTCTCCATGAGAGGTATCAGTATTGACGATTCCTACCGTGGTATTACTTGGTGTCAGATTAAAAACTTGATGTATTGCGTACCTCTTCCAACAATCTTCAAATATATTTTTTACAGTGGTGTTGAGAGGTTCACAGGAAGAGGCAGTAGCATGTATAACATAACGTAACAGATGAGCTTATGTAACTACACTGAAAAACTAAAATATTGTACTTGACTACTGCTGCAAAAAGTACATTACTCTTTGCCTACATGTTGTTGTTTTTTAATTTTAAACAAATTGTAGATGGAAACACTTCATGTAACCATCAGGATCTTGTCACTCTGGCTGATATGAGTTCTAAGAATCCCTGCTGGATGCTTTCTTCACAGCCTGTCTAACTTTTAAGAACATTTTGTCCTTTGCCAGGCATTGGTAGACATTTATTGATCTAGTCAAGAATTAAAGTTAATCTATTCAGAAGCTTCTGAGGTATCTTTGGAGGAGATCCTTTTAACAGACTCTCTTGTGATGTTTCTCACAAAGTTAAACCTCAAACAAAAATATACCTGAAAGTTTTTGTTGACGAGCGTCTTCCTGTCCGATTCGATCTGTCGAAACTTTGACCGCAGTCCTTTGACCTGGCTCTCCATCCTCATGATGTACTGAAAGTCCCTCTGCGTCCGCAGGTTCAGCACCTCAATTGACTGCGACATGTTCTGCACCTTTTGAAAAGAATGAAACCATGCAGCATTGATTTTTCCATCCACTGCCAGATTAAAATGTCCTCCATGTTCAGCTGTTCAGTAGCCTGCCATGCTCCAACTTCCCAAAGAGCAAATCAACATTTTAACCTCCAACAGGATTGTCTTTTAACCATCCATGTGTAAACTGAACAGAGCTTTGAATGGATTTTGCATGGCAACATTCTTGCTCTGTTTTCTCTCAGTTTTTAAACGCATATTCTACTTTGTCAGTTAAAATGTCCTGTGTTTTAAGCGTCTATTGAATCTGCTTGGTTTGATAATACATTTCAGAGTAGATATTTGACACAAACATTATAGTGTGTCTCTGGTTTGATAAGACCTCAGTGGGTTTTTGGGGCATGTGAACAAGAAGACATGTGGTCCTGTCTCTCTTTGGCTCTAATTTTAACCAACCAAGCACTACTGGAGCACATCGCTAGCAAAGTGGCACAACACTCATACATTGTGTTCTGCATACTTCTCTGGCTCTGGTAGAGGGATCCTGAAATGGCCTCACTGAAGCCCTGAGGCAGCTTAGTACATTAGTATCAAAGGCCTCAGTGAATGACAGAAAACAGCCTTTGGCATACAACGTTAAAATGTAGGCTACACCAATGTTTCCTTATAAGGCATAGTGACTGAGGAAAGTACAATTTTTATGTTTGTAGATAACGCATTTAAAAAAAAAAAAACAATTTCGTCTGGAATTGAAAGTCATGTTTCTACTCCTAAAAGAAATTGTGCTGGATGGGAAAAAATATTAAAAACTATCGAAAGGCTGATTTTCTGACAGAAATAATGTTCCGAATCAAAAGCCTACAGCCTGACAATAATCAACCAATAGCCTTCAATGGATGTTCGCCAAAAAAGGGGAACACAGTTCTGTTTAGGCGGGATGGAGCGCAGCCATTCAGCTGATGTCATCCATGTAATATATTCAGAAGTGGAAAATAGGGTTATGGACCTGGCTGGTGCAATCTCTCTGAGGATTAGAGCAACAAAGAAGCATGAATAAAGATAGAAATCAATGTGATGTGTCATATGAATTTAGGTGTGCTGGTTGCTTTACAGTAAATGTGTGTTTTAAAGAGTCATTGGCATCGTCGCTAAAGCGGAAACGTGTGTTGCCATACGCACATACCTTCTCCAGGAGCTGGCGGAGCTGTCTGCCTTTAGCATCTCTGGAGCACAGATTCTGTTCAGGTGCCACCACTGTGCAGATACAACGCCCATCTGCATCTTGAGCTGAGCTGTACACCTGCCACCCCTCCTTTGGCCTGATGGTCTGCGTGTAGAAACACAAGTACAGTTGTAAATGCACAGCCCACATATCTACAGGCAGACGCACTAAAGAGATGTAGCCGTGATGATATCACTATCAGGAAATTACAGCACAACAGCTGTTGTGTTTTCTTATTTTTCCTCATGGGTCATCCATTCTTCTGCCTTGTGCCCGCAAAGCTAGAACAGCAACCGATTCCACCGACTTCTAAAGAGTCTGGGCTTTGCAGGAATTCATTGCTTTTGTTTTCATATATCCCTCCACAGTATATGGTCGCCGGTGAATTTCCTGGCCTTGATAAATAACCCAAATGCGGAAATTCCTCCGTTTCTCCTCACTAGGCCTTAACTGAATGTCCTGCTGGGAGACTCGGATAAACCTGATTTGTGGGAGCTTGTCCCACTCTTCATTACACTCGGTATGCTCCAAAGCGATAGAGTAAAAAGCTTCAAGAACATAAAGTTATGCATCATGAGCCAATGCAGCATATTCTAATGCCCCACACAATAAAAACCAGTTCCGCTTCAAATATTGATCAGTGTCCTGAAGTGCTGGAAAAGTTGATGGCTATCAAACACACAAACAGCATCAGTATTGTTTGAATACTGCTGTTTATTTTCAGCATGGGAAATTAACACAGCCTCCAGCCAAATAGTGGCACCCTTTGTCTGCGGATGGTACATTTGTCTGCACTACCAGCGTGTTTGGCAGACAACCAAATCATTATTTGGAGTTTGTTCTGCTTTCTAAAACTCAATCTGTCTGGAGAATAACATGTGAAACGTGAACTTAGGCCTCAGCAAGCCTTTGAAGCTTGTGGGTAAAAAAAAAGAGGAGTGCCCTGTTTTCATCGTGCAAGCGTCCTTTTCCTTCTCCCATTCATCCTTAGCTGTCAGCCTGAGCGGTTTAAAGAGTGCTTGGTCTCAGCCATGAAAGATCATGGCCCCTCTGAGCAGGCAAAGATGTCCCGCCAAGAAGAAAGCTCAGACTTTGGCTCACCATAATCACTTTGTAGGTTTACTGTATTACAGACGTAGACAAGTCCTGCGTTTTAAGAACGTAATGGCTGATCAAATCTTGGATGGGTCATTTGCAATGAAGAAATTTGTGGTTTTAATATTTAATCTCTAATTTAGGTTTTAACACTGCCTGTGCCACATCTTTTTGCTTTTTTTTCATCTTGAAGTCAAAAAACAAGACAAAAATACCTTCGGCACAATCAATCTTCTGAGCTTTCATTCTTTCTCCCTGCACAACTCTCTTATGTTACCGTTATCAGATTGTAAGAAAATTGTTTCAGGTGTTATCAAAACACTACAGGCCTGATCTTTGTACCCCTTGCTATTGGTTGCTGATAAAGTTTACGATCTTGGAATTAAAGCTTATTCTACTGATACCCTGACGCTAAATTGGTCCTTATATGATTGTTAGATAAAAAGGCATGAAGATAGAATATCATAGTCTCACCATTACAATCTTATTTTTGACATTGTGCGCCACCTCTGAACTCATGCTCAACAATAGATGTTACATTGAAATATCTGGAGGTCAAGTGTAGTTGAAGTAGTGTGAGAGATACTGGACGGCTTGGTGCACCATGACTGTAGCTGCAATCAGTCTCTCTCGTAGCATCATAGCTGGATGGAATAAAAGAGGGAGAAAAAAACCCACCCGCAGCTCTTCTTTTCCTTACTTTGCTTTGAAAGGCTCCGAAAAAGAAGCCAGTTTCACTACTATGTTAAAACCGTCTTTCTCTACTGTCTCTTTAGTGACACACTTCCTTTCCCCCCCCTCTTCTCATCATCACATTTCCTCATATTAAAATGAATCTGTAGCTCAGCCAAGCCAGATGTGCTCTCCAACTCTGCATAAAGAGTGTTTTCTCTCATAATTCCGACAGCTGGTTCTTCTTTGTGTTTGCCGTTCATTTAGACTTTCTGACGCATCTCTATTCAGTTGTCAGTAACCTGTAAACGTTTCCTCTTTTTCGTGAACAATTGAGGAACATTAATTCTGCACACCACTTTCAATCATGGCAAGGTGATACAGTATGTGAGGACACTGCTTTGCAATCAAGACACTGGCACAGGGATCGTACTCTGCATGGTGGGATGAGCCTAATAGACCATTGTTCTCGCCCAAATGGCTTGATCTACAAGCTGCTCTTCCTAGTTTGTTATAATGCTCCCAAATGCATTCCCATTTCGTAAAGTGCAGGATACATTTCTCTAAGCATTGCATTTTTAAAAGAATAGCGTAAAGTAGCACCACAAAATACATGGCATGAGACGACACACAACATTTCAGTGAAGGTAAGTATATGCCTGTATCAAGATGTTTAGTGCAGCTTCCTCTGTCTGGGGGGGGTGAGATTTAGACATAATTCATTGCAGCAATATGTTTTATTTATTTATTTACTGTTTACAATGATTGAACTCTCCCTTAAATGTGAGTTATATGCCTGGCAGTACTCCAGGATCAATAGCAATGCTATTTGGTTGATGTAGGCAATAAACATCAGTGCTGTGAGGCTGCTGCTTCCTTTACCACCACTTTATTTCGATCTTTATTCTTTCAGATTTTCTATTTTCCCAAAACATTTCTGGCATATTGGTGTTAATTACTGTCAATGCCGGAGCGCATACAGCCGACAGCGACTACAGCAAAGAAGCAGCCAAAAATGCCAGGAACCAGAAATGACTCATTTTCTCTGTTGTTGGTTCTTCACCGACCGTTGCGCAATGCTCCACCCTAATTATTCAACGGAACTTTTAAACTAGAAGTTGACATGCTATTATTAGCTCGCGTCGAAGTTCTTTTTGAGAGAAACTCACCACTGAAGGGCAGTATCCGATCAGCAGCAGAAACAGCAGCGGGTTCAGGACCACGGACAGCGACCGCATTCTGTCGGGTGCTTCAACGTTTCCCTCCTCACCTCCTCCGCGACGGGTACAACAGTTTTCACGCAGGTTTTCTGACCGTGCGGCTCGCGCCACCTCGTCCACTACGCGCTGGTAAAAAACACGGCTTCCTGGGGAGGAGGGGGGCACATCCAACCACTCGTCCCCGTCACGCATGCCATGGGGGCAGCGGGGAGAAACCGCGTCACTGCAAGAAAGTGAAAAAGTTTGTGGGCATGCATGCAGCGAAAATCCTAGCTGCGTTTGCGTTACAGGGACCCTTCTTCACGGATATGACATCATCCAGCTGCCTCTCTCTTGACTTTTAATGAATCCAGCGTGCGTGTGCGTGCGTGTGTGAGTGGAGGAACCACCGGCAGCTGTGCGGTGACAAAAGTTGCAGCTGGCAGTATTCACCGGAAAATAGGAGAGAGAGGCGTGAGATCAGAGCTGCTGCTGCGTTTTTGTGCAAGCATGCACACGCAGAGGGGGAGAGAAAGAGGCGAGAGGATCATTATGATAGCAACAAAATAGCAAAATGTACTTTTACTATTACGTATTACGTATTTACTATACGCTTACTATTGTTTCATTTTGGTTAGTTCACCGGAATTACCACAAAACATTTTCAAGCTTACCTTTTAATGATAGGCATAGTATATGGCAGCTTATTTATGCAAAAAAATGAATAATTTAAATTTCAAAAATTTGATATACCAAAACATATGGAGTCAAAATGTGAGAAAATAAGTACATTTTTACTTACTAGGTCAAAATCAATTGAAGTTGAACCAACCAAACAACAGCTGGCGCTCCAATTGGCTAACAGCATGTTAACAAGAGTCTGGCCAATCTCTTAACTTTTAGGCAGCAGGCTGCTTACACAGCTTCATATTGAAGCAATCATGAAATTGCGGGCAGACATAAGTCAATGAAATGGTGAAAGTCAATGAAAAAGTTTAATTTTAAATTATTTAGTTTTTTTCCCCTGGCAGAAAATTAGCTTTTCTATCTCTGGCCACTCAAAGACAACCTTGTTTTTATGGTTTTAAGGTCTGTGGATAATCCAGGGTAAGAAGGGCACTGTGTCTGGAAATATTTTGCAGTTCACTTTTTAAATTACAATTTTCAATGCTGTGACCACTACAAACAAAATCCTTTTTTTTTTTTTTTTTTTTTTTTTTGCATTTTGAATGAACCAACCATTTAAACAGGGGAAACACTCCTGATCACTAAGACGTCATTTCCGTATAGGAATCTTAACATCTGTCATATTACTGAAACAAATGACACAACAGTTTCTGTGGCGTAGTGATGTTATAATGTTCGTCTCCGGCCGAAGCTATTAGTCACATACTCTCATATGGCACAATATTTTCAGTGCATAAAATAATTGAGACAAGGTGTTAAATAATGCGTGGAGTGCTCATTATGCATGCAAATAGAGTTCACAGTTTGTGGAGGGGTAAGATGCACAGTTTCAGCTTTGGTGCTCAAGCTGTTTTACTTCAGTTAAGATCTACTGTAACAGAACACTGGCAATTTTATGTCTAAACATAAACCTTCAGACATTTTCATGTTTTTGAAGTAAGACTGGAAAAAAGTGCTCCAGGCTACTTTTGTTTGGCATATATCTTATTTCTCCGAACAGTTGTTCAAGAATGTTTTCTGCAGCATTTGAAGACATGGCTTTGAGTATACTGGGGACAAAACATCGGTGTCCTATAGGTTTATATTTCATGATTATGAGATGAACCCATCTATAAAAACGTTAGCATTACATTGACTAAGAGTCTTAAAAGCATTCATCATTGTGCTAAAATAGTCATGTAATAGCAGATATAGCCTTTTTCCAATGGATATTCCTTTTGCTTACAACATTCTCGATTAGATAGATTTAATCTCGTCTCTAATATATACCCGGAACATTCTTCACCGAGAGAGCTCTTGACTCGATCCATGGCTTCTATACTTTGATTGCCATTCAGACCTTCCCCTCGAGGATGTCCTCACCGGCTGCAGCAAGAGCTTGTCCTTGACAGCAGGAGTCACCTTTTCCCTGATTGGAAGCCTTTTCACTTTGGTTTGCCAATCAATTTTTCCAAGGAAATGGACACTTTGTTCATCTTTTCTTTCTTTAGACGGTGGAAATGCAGCAAAATAGAATGGAGGATGCAAAGCTCTGTCAGCTTAGGGGCACACATTTGGTTTCAGACATTTATACCTTTCTCTGGGCACGTCAGGCAATGCTAATGTGAGTACAGGAGTAGGGGTGTCTCCAGGCCCTCTCCAAATAGGAAGTCAGCAGCAGGTTGGGATGAGGTGATGGTTTGGGCAATGACTCACAGTACTGTTGGAGTGTTTCCCAGTGAAACTGTTTGAACAGGGAATACTTGAACTCAAGAAGTGTCTCTGACAGGAGGAGACCGAAGTTTCTTGGCGCACTTGAACAAAGGTTTCTTTTTTTCGTAAGCCATTGCCTGCATTCCTGATGAGATTCTCTCTAGCAACAGTGGCTGCTGCTTGCTTTGTGGCTCAATCCAATTCAAATTTGTTCTGACATATGATGAGCCAGGGTTATCTTTTACAAATACACTTTCAATATTGCTACAAAGCATGTAGTTACTGAAGTAGTGAGGAAATAAACAAGAGACCACTGAAAAATGTCCATAAATCAAGCAGATCTGTCTGTAGGAATTCAAGAAATATAAAAAAAGAACGAGCAATTATAAAGAGAGCCACTATCTGTCAACACCGGCTTTTATGGTGTTCCTCTCCAAATAGCTGAAAATTACAAGGTTTTGGCAGTTTTAAACAATTCATCTTCCTTCATCCAGAAAAAGGTGCAATTGCTCTTTTTGTTCAGTTTTCTTTCACCCAGTATCTCTCCAGTGTAACAGAAGTGTTCTACTCCTGGTCATTAAGCAGTTCATCTGCTGAAGTTGTTGGAGGGAAAATGCTTTGCTCAACAGTAGCTTGATGTTAGTTGGCTTCCTAGTACAGATTGAAAAGCCTTTTGAGGGGAGTTTGTGATTACTCGTTACTCACTCATAGCCATATATGCGTCCACTATTGTACTTGTGAAAATAAATAGCAACGTTGATGTTTTTCGCCACTAATATTGCGAGCACAATATAGCTTTTGTTATGTTGCACTGTGAGTCGGCTACAACCGAGGTCAAGTGAATCAAAGATTGATCCAAAGTGTAATAATCATGTAATACTGCATAAATGAACACAATGTAAACGTTTTGTATGGTTATGACGTTATTGTGCCTCTGCTTCCAAATTGCTTTGTTTGAAAATGACTAAGGATCCCTGTTCTGACAACTTCACATTAACCAAGGGGACATAAATATTTCATGGCCGGCAACAGTAATGACACTTTATTACTGAAGCCTGCCATGACATGTTTATGGTGTTGTTGTGAGTGTAATTCTGAGATTTCTAGAGTGTTTATGACATTGTTAATCTAATAATGGCCATAAACATTTAAAAGGTGTTTGAGCCTCAGAATAAGCCCTTTTCACATCAGCGGTATTTGTGTTGTCATAGTTGTCATGTCATGTCATTTTTACTATACTGTGAAGATCTTTTTCATGAGGTGGTCTGACTGTATTTCCTTCAAAGCCAGTGGTGCAATTAGGAAGAGCAATCAGCCTGGGGATTGTTTTTGTCATCCAGTGTTGGCACATACAACCTCAGCATGCAATGTGTGACCATGCGTTTTGTCTTGATACAGTGTTTAAATGGACTCAACTTGCTATAAATAAATATAGGATAATCTGTAAGTGAATGCAAACGATTGCAGTGTGCATTTGGCCAAGCACCAAATATTTATTTCCATTGTACATAGTTTGTAAACATACTATAATTACACAGGTTTGAAAGCGGCTCTGAAGTCTATGCTAACATAGCTTTAAGCTGAAGAGGTGGAGATGCAAACAGATCTTGATCAAAGTAAAAAAAATCTGAGTCAGAGAAAGAAAGTGGAAGAGATCACATGAACCCAAACACTCCAACCTAATATTAAATGATCATGGGGAATGAAGGTAATATGTTCAAGGCAGGGCAGAATCACAAAATTACTTCTGCACTCAAATACAGACATTCAACCCGACATTTTTCAGAATCCAGTTTTAATATTTTTTGAATGAACAATTCAAGGCACAGGAAAACATTTTGTTTACAAATAAGAAAATCGACAGGGTTTTTTTTGGGGGGTATTTTGAAAAACAAACAGTTTGACAAATTAACCTCCAAAAAAGAAAAGGGTTTTCTTTTGTTAGTTACTACAAATAATCAAACTTGATTGTGTCATCAAGATATAAGCTCAGTTGAAGACGAGCTAAATATGTCCACATTTTTTAAATAGAAGCTGAGGTACAATATAACATCTCGGTGAGTGATTTTTTTTCTTACAATATTTATATTAGGATCTCATTTTATTATGGCTTAATATCCTGATGGACATACCAACTGGCATGTCATGGAAATAAAAATGCTTTTAGTTTTAAACGTCATGTTCCAGTTAGGTTCTCTCACAAAAATCAGATGAAAGTCATATTATTTACACAAGGATTATTTTTTTTTACTTACAAATTGGAATGTTTTCAAAAGACATATTTCTTGGCAAATTAGTTTTTAACACACAATATATTCATTGGATTTTATTTCTATATAGTTCACCAAATATTTACTTAAACTCTAAGAGCTGGGGCACATGCAAGTTTTTAGAGTGGATTCGGAAAGAAACAATATTATACACAATAATAATAATAATTACAGTTTTATCAAAAAGCACTTTTTTGTAGCACCTTGAGTGTTTTGTGATTCTGCACAAAAGCATCTCTGTGGTTGTATTCAGAGCAGCACCTGGAGCATCCAGAGAGGGAGGCATGGTGGGAGGCGAAGGACAAGGGGAGTTTAGTGGATCCTCTCTTTGTTGCTGAAAGTGCGCGGCTGTCCGCCACGGCATCAAATGTCCTTTTCCTGATGTCAATCCCATTACTGCATGTAAGTTAAAGTCATGTGATTCTGGCCCTACAAGGGCGAGGAGTAGTTTCCCCTGGTCAGCGACTTCATGACAGGGCCTAGAGGCACTCTTCTTCTCCGGGCTTGAGTGGAACTTCTCGGCAACAAAAGAAAACACAGGTTTTTTGCTTGGCAGGGAGAGAAGGTAGGATGTTGGATCTCAGTATGTGGGTGTTAATATTTACCCTCTGACCCTGTCCTTCAGCGGGGAGTAGGTGTGTGTCTAGCCTAGGAAACAGACAGGGCCAACCTCAAAGCCAAACCTCTGGTTGGATTCCCCAAAGTCATTCAGCATGACGTCAATGATGGGCAACTGGTCGATGCGGGGAGTATTGATCTCCATCACCGTCTTTGAATAGCCCTGCTTCAGCTGAAAACACAAAGGACAGACAGTCATTTAGTAAGGTGGTGCAGTATCATTCACAATCGTTTAGGGGACTTTAGTAATCATTCAAAGAAAAAAAAAATTTGTCTTCAGATTTTTCTGTTAAAAAAACAAGGGGTCTTAATCAACTTGAAGAATAAGTTACAGAAAATTAAAGAATTTCTGTGGAGATATTGATTTTACAGACAATCAACCAACAACCGTTTTGATAACAAGCTTCTGAAATGAGAAAAAGTCAAAGTATAGTGTCACAAAAAAAGTAATGGTATAGTACTATAACATAAAAAGTCATATTATAGGTAAGTATAAGTAATATGAATTCATATTATAAAAGCTATAAAAAGCCATGTTGTAGTATGTCAAGAAAAAGTAAAAAAGGCAAAGTATAGTCATAGGATAGCATTTAATAAGAAAGTCATTCAAAAAGGTATAGTATGGTGTGTCATTAAAAATCAATCAGAGTATATCATTAGGGTCATTATATAGTAAAAAAAAGCATTTTATGGTAACTCATTAAAATATCATACAGTCTTTCCTAAAACTCAAATTAGCGGTAGACTGCCTCTACACTGTACAAACATTGTTGTATGACAGTCGGGCTTGTTTGTGAAGATGAGTGGGATTTCATGGGATTCAGAAAAAAAGTTTGTTTTTTTTCAAACTGAAAGTCGGATAACAAGTATTTACCGAGCAGCCGTCCATCAGAGGCTTGATGAAGGGATTATTGTCGTAAGACATCTCCTCATCGTTGGAGCCCAAGAAGCGCAGTGACTTGTCATAGTTGTCAGCCTTGGCGTCGTACCAGGCCACAGACTGATGGCAAATGTAGGTGAAGTTCTGCCGTGCCGAGGAGCTCAGCAGCTTCAGGAAGGTCATCTGCACTGTGTTGATGGTGTTTTCTGCCATGTCATTGTAGTTCAACTAGGGACAGAGAGAAGGGGAAAAGGATGGAGAGTGAGGAGGGGTGAGGGGATGGTTTGAAATAAAAGTTGGAGATTAGGTAAATAGGAAAGGATGAGAAAGGTAAGGTAGGGAGGTGTATGACAGGGAGGCAGTGTAGGAAAGTGAGAGAACGGTGGGAAAGAGTTACAATAATTGAGACAAAGTGGAAATGGATGTGAACATCTACAGGTAGATAATAGAAAATAAAATAGGACATTTAAAAGTCATGTGGGGTAACTCACAATTTTGCCACGTTTAAATTCACTGAACCATGAACCTGGAGACTCCTTGGGCCAGTTGGATATTCTAACCTATATGATAAGAAAAGGTTAAACGACAATCAGAGGACCTTAAAATGTTTCACTTTTGCAGTAGCTGTACACAGATCTTAACTAAAATAGCTGCAAATAGCTCCTACGTGTTTTTTACTGAACACACCATTTGTTTCAGGTCTGTATTTAACAGATGTTAACGTTTGCCCGTTACTTACTCCTGTGGATTTCTTATCTGGGTGGATGCACGTTTCTCCGCCTGCTGTGAAGTTACAAAACACTTGAATGGAGTCTCCGATACAGCCCTGGTTTGGATCAATCCAGTATTCACCTGCGAGAGAGAGAGAGAGAAACAGCCGTGAGACAGAGCCAAGGCAGGGGTGAGAAGCACAGATTTGGCCTCCTAGAGAGTGAATACGACTGTTATTTAATGTCCACATCATCACAGCTCAGCTATTTGAAAATACACTAATGTTTTATGTATGTCAGGTGTTGTGAACATGTCCACAAGGTGGTTCAAAACTGTTGTTTATTATTTCCAAAGTAATAGCTTTGGTTTACAGCTGCAATGAATCAATCATTTGATCAAAATGAATCGATCAGCAAATGTTTTAAAAATACATTAATCGTTTAGGTCGTTATTCAGACAAAAATGACAGACATTTACTATAAATGTTCAATATTGGTTGTGTTGCTGTATCAGTTGCTTCAATAAATTAGAGAGTTCACCAAATGATATCACATAATAATACAAAAACAAATTACGACTCAAGAATATTGTGAAGGGAATCTTTAAAAATATAAAAGAATGATTTGGTTAACCACACAGAAATAAAGGGTGTGCGAATTTCTGCATTCAAATAACATAATGAAATGCTTTGCTGTAACACAACATTTAAAACACGATGTAAAAACTTGTATTATTACAGCATTAGTTCTTTCAATCACAACTTTCCAATGAATTTTTTTTTTCATATTTTTGTTACTGTCTAATCTTTGATTTATGCAAATGTTTTTAAAGAGAATATTAATTACAAATGAAGGAAATTCCTTTTTTTTTTTTAAATCCAAAGGGTTTCTCAACCCTGAGTAGCGCCGGTCGTCTTCCTCTCATACATCCCCAACAACGTCTAGAACTAAGTACCCGGAGAGGTGACACAAAAGAACTTTAAAAATCACTTGCAGCTGCTTATAAAAGTGACAAAGATGAGTATTACAACATGTCTCATCAACTCCTCTCTTCAGGATGTTGGCAGCTGCACAGTAAGAGGACGCTTAAAGAGTTTCAAGTGACTAAATTAAACTCAAACTGCTGAAGTAGAGCACAGAGTAAATGTTGTGACACTACAACTATAGACCGAGTTCTACTTTTGATGAATTCTGCCTCTGTCCTACCATCTGGATAGTCTGGCTGGCTGAGGTGCAGGTCGTTGCAGGTCCTGGCAGGATTGTCTTGGGTGCCGACGGGGAACTTCATGCGCTCGATGTCCTGTTTGAGGTTGTTGAGGGATCCGAAGACATCCTCCATTCCCTCCATACCGACGCCATCTACGCCGTAGTCTGCTAATGCCTCGTCTCCCTGCATCTCAGCCTGCCGCCTGGTCTTTCTGGAACCCTGCTGGATGGGCAGCGGCTGGATGATGTCACCAGGTGGACCCTGAAACGCGGAGGTTAAGGTCAAGCACATAATTACTATCGATTTGTCAGGGGTTGCTTTCCATAGCATGTGCAGCCTTTGTCAACTTAAACATTGGCTGTTGAATCAGTTATTTTCATGATTCATTGTTTCGTCAAAAATAGTGAAAAAAATGCCTTCAAATTTCCCCAAGGCCATTGATACAACTAATTGTTTCTACTATAGTGATTGCAGTGTTTAATCATAATGCTATAGTTAATGCACATTCAGAGCATTTTTGGAGTATAATGTGCATAACAATAATGCTTGGTTGGAGCTATCTAAAGACAGTAAACGGGTAACTTACAGGTGGTCCAGGTGGTCCAATCAGTCCATTGTCTCCCTTCTGACCTGCTGAACCCTGACAGAAGACAAAGTATCGTGGTCATAATTAAAAAGAACCCCATTCTCATAAAACACATGACAGGCAATGTAAGGCTTAAAACACTGAAAATAATGAAAACATAACTTACATATGATCCCTTTGAACCTTTCTGTCCTTGAGAGCCCTGTTGAAAATAAAATATTAAGAGATGAACAAAAGCCACGATGAAAAAAAGTTTGAAAAATGTTTTGATCAATAAAAAAAATGGAACTTACAGAAATACCGGGGGGACCAGGAGGGCCGAGAGGACCATGGGAACCACCAGCACCCTATGACAGATAATAGATCACATTAGTCTAAATAGTGGTATTGTGGGAATATGACCTCCAAGTCTCAGAAAGTCACACTTTTAAGAATACATTTATGCAGCGCTATGACTTTATGAGATTCACATTATAGTGGAGACGATGAGTATATTTTAATAAAGCATACTCTGCCTGACACTTACAGAATCACCCTTGCCACCGCCAGTACCCTGAGGTCCAGGCAATCCTCGGTCTCCCTTCTCTCCAGACTCACCAGGAGGTCCAATTAGACCGATAAGGCCCGGATGACCCTGGAGCAGGCAGAGCCGATAATAAAGAACAAAGAGGGAGACAAAAGCATAGAAATACATTTTGAGAACAAAACAATATTTGTACTAATTACATATATGTATATGAAGCAACCTGTTACATTAGCCCTTCAATATAGAGTATATTTGCCCTCTCCACCTACTGTAGTAATGTTTACAGAAACAGTCTGACCTATAGACATTGCATGCTTTAGTTCCCTGCTGTATTTTCTCTTTTTACATATTTATTGTCTTTCACCTACTTGTTCGTACATTGTAGCTAAATGTTAAAGTTTGAATTTCTGTTCATTCGTCATCTGCAGAAAATTAAAGCAAAACCAAAATGCATATTTTACCTTAAAGTTCAAGCACAATGTCTGGCCGGATGACCACAGTTCTACTCTTATTTCTGCCTATAAATAATTAGTGTTTTATGGTGGTCGTCATATTTAACAATGGCGGTCTGTCTCGGCACCTGCTGTTTGGCAGAGTTATGGTCTGACTACTGCATGCTGGCATTTAACCAATGACCATGACAGCGATAATATTACTGGACTCATACATATTCATTCAGTGCATTAAATCACTGTGTGAAAGCACAAAGCAGAAGCTTTCTTTATCCTTACAGGGATAGACTCAACAAAGAGATAGAGGCAACAGGCCCGGCCGTTTGCTTACTTTGGCAGCTGCAGATAAGGTGCATAAGCAGATATGAGAAAATACACAATAAAGCAATTTGAGATTAGCATCGTAATAATATCTTACCTTCTCTCCCTTCCATCCGGAGTCACCTTTCATACCAGGAAGTCCAGCGGGGCCCTGTGGAGGGAAAGAGTCAGTTTGTGAAGCATAACTAGCAGTGAAACGAATACACACAAAATGTCACAGATCTCTGCATTGGCGGTGACGCTTCTCCATTCCTCCTTCAAATCAACTGTATAACATCAAATGTAATGTCTTGTCTAGCCAACAGTCAAAGAGTCATTCAGCTGACTCAGCTAAATTATTCAATTATCAAAATAGATACATTTTCTCTGAATCGACTAATTGATAAAACGCTGCAGCTCTACAATACTGTAATGTTATGACACCAAAATCTGGTATATTTTAACATTACATATGTTTTGTCCACAGATGACCAATGTCCCTTTAATGGCTAAACAGCAACATACGACCTTTTTAACAAGGAGTGAGCAGGTGGGAGAACATGTCTTACTAAAGGTCCAGGAGGGCCGTCTTGACCAGAAGCACCAGGCAGTCCTTGCTCACCCTGAAAATAAAGAGAAATGAATTACAGTATTTGGCTAAGAACACGAAAATAATCTAATTACTAGATTTAAAAGATACTAAACTATATTTTAAGAAGCAAAACATGTTCAAAAAGTATCCATGACACTAACATTCATTTTCAACCATGTAATCTTCTCCATACAGATGAATCGATTAAATTCCATGTGTCGTTCAAATATGAAACCTGTGGCATAACAAAGTTGCAGATATTTGGCAAAATGTACTCACAACAGGACCAGGAATTCCACGCAGTCCCTCAGGACCAGATTTTCCAGCAGGCCCCTGAGGTCCCACAGGTCCAGTTTTCCCATCAGGACCCTCGGCACCAGCTTCTCCCTGTAAAACATCAGCACAAAATAACAATTGGTCTGGCCACTTAAAGGTAATCTTTGGTTACAGTTGTTAGTAACAAACATGTTGAAAGCATTTTCAAAAAAACTGCAAAAGAAACCAGTACGTCCTTGTGCAGGAGATACAAACAAAAGCAGGACAGTGAAACTAGTACTCCACACAGTATCTTGTTGTGTATGGTCACATGTCTCTTCACTGATGGCAATGAGAACTTTATCCAACTTGATAATTAAAGCAATCCTGCAAACAGAAGCCACATTGTTCAATATTTTGCAATGTTTTCCTTCCACACACACACAAAAAAAACAAACTCAGAGCGGAAGGATTCGAGGATTTGAAACATCCCAACAGATGAAATGTTACCAGATCTCATCTGTTGTTTCTTAGCAGGAGAAGCAAGTTTTGATGTATTGGAAGTTCCAGAGATGTCATATTGACTAGGGGAGGAGGAGGAAGGGATTAAATTGCTCTGACAACCAATTAGGCCTGGATTTAAACTCAAGGATCACCGCGCAGGCGATGTCTTGTCTCCATCAAATCAACTCTAATCCGCTAACTCGACGTGGACAGAAAGTGCACTTTGTATGTGTGTGTGTGTGTGTGTCTGTGAGGGATGGAGGACGCCAAAGAACAAAAAGAACAAGCGAGGCTACGTCTGATAGTTATCAGGCTTTCTGTCGGTGCTTTTCTTTGAACCAACTGATTTGCAGACAAACTATTTCTTTAAGGCATACAAAGACATTTCTTATTTGATGCTCTTCAACAGAGCAAATTCAATGTTATGGATTTTAACAAAGCAATCAAATCTGCTAATAGCCTCAAGAAAACTCACTGCTTCTTTGGTGAAAACAATTCTTACATTTTTACAGCTATACAGGATCTGCTGTGAACACATCAATGTACAGCTAAACAGGATATTATAGGAGAGGTTTTAAATCGGACATCTATCTGTTCAGGCATTTCATAGGAGGAAAGAAAGGCAACCTAAAGGTTCCCTGTGGAGTCTTAGACCGCACTATGGATGCAAAATCTTTTTTTAATGAATGGAACCGTTTTGTTGATCTCGTCTACAAGGACACACATGCACACAATACACTGCAAGCTGGTTGACATGGATGTAAAGAATGCTGAAATCAAAATACTTCATTTGCAAATGTTTTATGAGGAAGAGAATGCATTCGATATGCTTGTTTAACCTCAAGTATATTGTATTCGTTTGTTTCTGCACTGTACTTTTGCTCTGGTTTATGCTCTTAGATGCTTGTTTAAAAAAAGGAGATGCACTTATGACTTCTGGTGGCTAGTAGTTCTCTTGAATACCTACATTGAATAATTTGTAAAAGTCCAGACTGTTGACAACTTACCTTTGATCCCTTTTCTCCTTGTCTGCCCCCCTGACCTGCTGATCCAACAGGACCCTGAGGAAACAACAATACAAGATTAGTTTGCATTTATATCATAATTATTCTCTAAAAGGGACATTTTCCAACATTCGCTGACAAGCGGTTGTTTCGTGTGCATACTAATTGTTCGGCTGATGCGTACCCTGACCTTGAATCTTTTCAAAGAGAGAGGGTTATGCAGGACCAGGCAACATCAGTGCGAGCACATTGCCCTACATTCCAAACATACTGGGCTAAAAGCACATCAGTATTTTCACCAAACAGCCTGTGGCCAAAACCTTGTAAGTGGACTGTCATTTGCCATTAGACACCACAATCAAATAGACCCAACAAAAGCCACTGGTCTTCAATGTAGGTAATGAGCCCTGGCAACTGTGTATGTGCATTAGTGAAAGTGCATATGTGTGTGTGTGTGTGTGCGCCCGTGCGTGCATGTGTGCTAATGTAGTCAAGCAGCCACATGCATCAATGAGCACCAAACGTGAGTCAATTTTGACGAGCTATTGGGAAAGAGACTAACCCCGAATCACCTTGGTGAAGGATGAGAAATCATATCGTAAGGTCCATTAATATGTTCTGTACCCTCTGTCACCTGGATAGTATCCCTTGAAATACAAATTGGGGGTCTAAAATGTGCTTACCTTAGCAAATTTTTTTTTTTAATGTACGACGGAACAGTCCAAGCCTGCATTTTAATTTCAGCCACAGAATTGCATGAAAACAGGCAAACTAATGTGGCATGTAGATATTTTTTAGACATTTTACGATGATGCTACTGTACTTTATCTACCCGGTGATCATCTTCTCTGCAGTACTGTACAGTATCTTACCACAAGTGTTGGTCATGAATGTTGGTCAAAATGGAGCTAGTTTTATCTATCATATGTACAATATTTAGTTAGTCCAGTGGTTGTTGACAGTAGGCCCCGTCCAGTACTCTGAGCGTCATCTCTGCTAAAGTACAACAAACTAAATGAATGTACTTTAAACATCAAAGTTTCTATTCTCTCATGCCATATTGTGCCAGCCTTTCATACCCTACATTAATGGCATGTGTTATTGTTAATTGCAAAACATTATTAGAGTAAATGGATTGCATTGTAAAAAACGCCATGCTAGAGAAATGAAATAATCTCAGCCCAAGTCTGATGTGACAGAAAGGGCATTGAGTGCCAGGAATTAAAGTGGCAAGTTCATTTCCTGACGTTAGCAACAGCAGACGTCTCACTGCTTTGCATTCACATTACTGCAAGTCAAACTCACGATACATCCAATACTCTCTTACAGTATGATCTTTGTCTGCAATTACTGGCTATTCCAGACATTCTCAGAAGCTTAACTAAAGGGCACAATTTCCTATCAAACTAAAACTTAAAATCCAAACATACAATAGTGGGTAAAAATAGCTTGCAGGCCTGTAAGAGCATTGCGAATCTAAAAATAGAGAACATCTCAAGAGTGTAGCAGAAGTTTCGTCTCATGCATCATTTTGGAAATGTACTCACCCTTTTGCCTGGAGGTCCTGGTACTCCAGCCTCACCAGACGGACCTGCAGGGCCCTAACGTAGAGTAGATAAGAACATTTAAATACACTTCACAAAGATTGAAGAGTTTTGTTTTATTATGAAATGTCTACAATCTTGCAAAAACTGATTTTTACAGAATTGAACATATCGTTTTTTTGGTCTTTTTGACACAGGTTTCACCATATTGTTGCTACACATGCTTCACTATTAGCATGATCAAGTGAATTCCAACACAACTGAAATTGAAATGTACAATAAACTGATACATGATATCAAATGGCGCTGCTAGTTTTATTTCCATAATTTCCCTTAATGTACAAATTCTCAGATTTTTAATATTTAAGAAAACCCAAAATTAAATCACTAGATACTCAAAATGCTGCCAACTAAAGCTCCTCTACATTCTCCGGTTACTTCACAAATTAAAAAAAGTTATCTTGCTGTATTCTTGCACATGATTGTGTGTATGGGAAATTCATTTTAGTGGTTGAATGTGACTGGCCGGATACTTTTCATTTTACTTGGCAAGTTTTCACAACTTGAGCTCGGGTAAGACTTACAGGTTGCCCAGCATCTCCATCGTCTCCTTTGTCACCTGATAAACCGTCAAGACCCTAAAGCAAAATGCACAAATGACAACACTAGTCAGCTCTTGTACTGTACTCACTGTATGTACTGAATGCCATTTCACATCACAGCTGGGTCTACATTAACGCCACATTCAACACATTTACATACTAACAAAAACCATGAAAAATCAAGAATGTCATGTTAAAAAGAGAAAAACAAGAACTTATGGGTAATAAAGGCATGTATTGCTACTCGCTAAATATACATAATAATAATAAATATAAGATTATATATAAATGTATAAATGTAGCACTGACAGCAGCACCAGGCTCTCCAGGGGGACCGGGGTCTCCTGGGAAGCCGACAGGACCCTGCAGACAGATCGAGACACAGAGAAGACTTGAGCTTGACTCAGATATTTGACATTGCCTCAACAACTTGTCTGACAGCGGACAGCTGGACTGACTAATGTGACACTGTATTCTGCATCTGACAGCTTTAATAATGCATCAGTCATGGCTGTGTGTGTGTGAGACATACAGGGTTGCCCTTGGGACCGTCATCTCCAGAGGGTCCGCGGGCACCGGCGGGTCCAGCAGCTCCAGGTGGGCCAGTTTCTCCCTTCTCACCAGATTCTCCTCTGGGTCCCTGAGGGAAAATGCATCACAAGCTTGTCACCGTGAAGAACACACGAGGGCCATTCACACACAATAGCATAAGGCACGAGACATATGTGTTGTCAAATCTGTCTCTCCATCTGGCATTAAAACAAAAAAACTCAAAGTATTGTTCTGAGAGCTGAATAAAAAGAAACCAAATAGTCCACAAACAGTCAACACTAAATAGTCGTATCATCTTTTGTTTTGCTTTGGTAATAGCAGCAACAGTGTCTTTAAAGTGTTGGCTCTGACTAAGAGCCGCAATTGGAGCATAATTACAAAACCAGAATCGTTAGTTGGCCCATTAGAGCAGAGAGCTTCTCCAGTCGATGCCAGCACGGCAGCTTTGAAATTGACCTCGATGTCAAATGCACCACTAGCTCTATCTGTCACCGTAAACAAATGCGTGGCAGCAGGCGGATACATCAATACCACCTGATGGACTAAGACTCAGGGATTGTGATTGGCGCATACCTATAACTAAGGTGAGGCCTCTCTGGTCTACACAATCAGTGCTTAGCCTGGATCAATGGCACTGCTCCGAATACCTCATCATGATTTATACAACTGGAAAGTAAAAAGCTGAGGCTCTTTTGCAGGCAAAAACAGTACGCTGCATTATGAAATTGATGTTGTGCTTATTATGTGGATTGATGCGGGAGATGCCCTTCCAAATTAATGTTAAATTAATTGTGAGAAAGTGGGCTTCCTGTCATCAAGGACTAATTATGGTGACATGAAACACCAGACTGTTATTCTGAAAAACTCCAAGCTATTGTGACGCTTTTGTCACACAAAATAACTCGGAGCATATACTGACTTCATATCTGATATCATGAGTGTTTTAGCATGACACTGTACTTACTCCGATACCAGACTCTCCATGTGGTCCTGGGTTGCCAGCTTCACCGTTTTCTCCCTATGACATGACAGTGAAAATGTGGATTATCACACCAGATAGTGTTATCAGGTGGCCAACATTTTGTCTGTATCTTCGACTTTAATGTCAAACACACAAACTGTGCATGGTAGTGAAATGGCTGCTTCCTTCAGGAGCACAAAGAGAAAACAAGACAAAACAAAGGAAATAAAAGGAATGTACTTTAACAAGCACTTCCACAATCAGCTGCTCTTACCTTCTCACCAACACCTCCCATTGCACCAATACCACCAGGAGGACCTTGAGCACCCTGTGGATAAATCATAATTACACTTAGCGATTATCCAAAGAAAGCAAGATTCATACAACAGAAGTGTGTGCTTTTTTTTTTAACAAACTTTGTTTTTATTATTATAAGTACAACTGATGCCTTTAAAAAGAAAACAATTAAATGAAAAACAGACTTACATTGGCTCCGCTTGAACCCTGAGGGCCTCTGGGGCCAGGAGGACCATGTGGACCCTGTCAGCAAAGATAGAAGTTATGTGCGGTATAATAGTATTGACAATAATTGTTTTCTTTATAATGCATAAGGCAAGCCTAACGTGCTCAACATTACAAAACATTTAAAAAAAAATCAATCCAAAATAATCACTTGGTGCTGCAGTATAAGTGCTTTCTTTTCAATTGGGAACCTGAATCAGACTTTATTCACAAATTACTTTAATTTACAAATATACAAAAACAAAATATATCGATTAAGTTTACCGGGAATTAAGAAAGCAGAACAGAATACAACTAAACATTTGGGACACATGCATCCCGCAAACCAAATCTACAAAACTGGTAGATAACAGAAACAAACTGCATGGAAACAAAGCATGCAAAGTGTTCACCAGTAGAAATGTTTGTGTCAGTACATCTTCCACAGACTTCAAAAAAACCTGCCAAGCGGCTTCGAGGAGTCGCCAAACTCAGCCACGAGCCAAAACTTCAGAACAATCAACACAATTTCCCCACCTCTCCAGGTCGTATACGTGAATACAATGCGAATCGCTGCAACAGAGAGAAAAGTCACTGAAAGAGCTGTACTCACCATTGCTCCAACGTCTCCATTCTCTCCCTTCTCACCAGGAGGGCCGGGCAATCCCTGCAAAGAAGACAAACACTCTTCAGAACAAAGAAAAGGGTCAAGCGAGGCGGCAGAAAAAACATTTTTTGCTGCTCATTAACAGGTACTAACAGATGATGCGTATTGAACAGTGAGCTTTAGGATGCAGTGTGATGGAAAATGCAGAAGAACCTCTGAGTGTAAACAGACAATTAGTCAAAAAGGACACCTATTGTAATTAAAGGGTATGGGAAGCTTGGGTATAATCAGCCTGTGTAAATTGCAGGGTGGGAGCTCCATCCATCTATGTCCGCTGGAAAGTGGAAACAAAGAGGACGGTGCAGGTGGTATGTATTATCCAGTTTTGGGATTCAATCACGTTTGACTAAAACAGTTTGAATACAGCTCGGGAAGGAGCTCTCATTTGCTATTGTAGATTATTGTTTATCTGCATAATTGCATAATTTGTTGTGTTGAATAAGCTGCGATGACGGAGCAAGCGGCAGTTATGATAAGTTACCGCGAAACTGAAATGGCATGGATATCGATCATGGAGATCACGTATGTGTAGTTTCAGCCCATTTAGTTTGATTTAATGTACCTCTGGAATGGCCGAGAAGGCTAATCTACAACGGATTCTGACTGGGACTTTAGTCACAGTGATAAAGCAGGGTAGTGACAGGAGCAAAATAAAGCAGCAAACTATTTCATGCGTTATGTTTGGATGTGATGAGCTCTTGATCAATGCTCAACTTGCTACGCTCTTTTGTAAAAATACATGTACTAATGGAATAGCAGGCCAGAGAGAAGAGCTGTGTTGTGAGTAATATTAACATACACACACACACACAGCCAAAACCACACCAAAATCCGCACACTCTTATTTGCTCATATATCAGAGCAAATAATAAACAAATGTTTACTTATGATTTGGCATTTCCTAGCCATGAACTACAGGGACAAATCTGATATTAACTCTCCTCTTCATCCACATCTTAACCTCTTGATCTGAAGAATCCATCCACTCAGCGAGGACTCCATTATTCCACGGCAAACACAGCCCTAAATGATGGAAGCCTTTCAAAGCAAAGCCATTCGTTCCCCATAGTCAAAAATCATTAATGCTACAGATAATTGAATTGAAGAGCTGAGCTCGCAGTGGTTGCTGCCATCTATTGAAGGGCAGCTTAGCCAAACATAATTAAGAGTGGAGATGGAGTGCATTATGCCCAATTAGAAGCCAATTGCACTTAATAACAACGCTATCTGGCCCTATTGACCAGCACGGCTTCTCTCTAATTTCATTCTCCAGAAGTCCTTGGGTAATTGACTTCTAGATATTCTAAAATGTGCCGTTTCTGTATTCATTGCCACTAATGCATGTTTCTTCAACTTCAGCGCATTGGCTTAAATGAGCCAATGCTCTGCCCTGTTGCTCTTCTCTTCCTCTGTTGCAGTTTTGAGGAGAAGGAAGCTGAACAGAGCACAGTGGTGTGGAGCAGAAGTCACATTAAGCTTTGTCTTCATCTCAGAATTACACCTTTATGGGAGAATTTAAAAGCAAACAGAATGTACTATATAGTTAATTTCCCAAAGTGACTGTTCTCCAAATCACATACTTTTTCTTTTAACTTTTACAGCAGTACATACTGCAGCTGTCCTTACAAAGTACTTTTGCATTCAATTGGGACATACTACTTCATTATAACATTGTACATTGAACTTTGATCTGTGTTGGTCTGAATAGCAGGATGCAGCAGGACATCCTGGTATTTTTGGCAATAGTATGGTAGTATGTTTATCGGAACTCACAGTATATAACTTTTGCTTAATGGCAAAAAGTGTAGGCACAAGAGACAGTTACACTACGTTCTCACTAGCATTTATTCACTATTATCTTGAAACAACAGTAAAAGTCTAGTAAAGTCAGTGAAATGACTCAGCAATATCCGTTACACAGTAATATCTCCATAGAGTTTGCTGATATTAGTTAACATTAGCCCCCACTAGATACCTATTATACAGCACACTAAGTTGGGTTTTTATCTGCACAACCAGGAGTGTATTGAATTAAAGAAGGGTGCACTTTTATTTGTTATTGTTTTTAGTTTTTGCAATTTGCAAGAGTAAGAATGTGATACCTCTCTCTCAAAATGTACATACCGGTAGTATCATTTTAATACCAAAAAAAGGTGCTAATACTCTATTCCAGGAAAAACACTTTCTACAAATCAATGAACGTCTACCATTAAAAATAAGATAAATCGCCACAGATCAATGTTTGTTGAAGTGGAAAATAAAACGGTGGGTTATTTATTGGTAAAAGCCCTAAAATATCACTCTTCTGCAAAGCATTTCATATGCATAGTTCGTTTGTATAGGCAGGGTGTAATGATGGCTAGACAGAATTTGTTTTAGGGTCACAGGTTTGATACCTGACAAAGCAGATGAGTCCATCCTAATATTCAAAGCATCCCGACTGCCTCTTTTCTCTAAACCCTCTAGGAAATACTGTATGAGTATTGCAATCTATCTATTATGAGACATATTTTCAAAAGATAAATGAATCCATACTATACATTGATTAAAATATCTGATTGAACACAGGCAACCACAGGATGGTCTCATATTTGTCCTGGCTGGGAGCAATGCAAGGAAGTGGTTTACTGCATGATAATGTGATGTAGTCTGAGTGGAAAACCAACAGCAGTCAGTCTCCACTCCACCATTAATGGAGCGGCAAAATGCCAAATGCAAAATGTTAGCGGTGGTGATGGATTTTGAGCACTGCCTATGCTATCCTGGAGGGGGGGGGGGGGGGGGAAGCATTGTTTGCCCAGGAGCAATGCAAAGTGTTATTAGGAGCCAAGGCTGCATTAATAAATGATGCTCTGTTTTGATGTAATGTAAATGATGTAAGGTGAGGTGAAATATTGTCGGTTTGGAGGGACTCGTTCTACTCCGCTTAGCTCTGAAAGAGGGAAAGCTATGTGTGTGTGTGTGTGTATAAAAGATGTAGACTTACCTGGAGTCCGATGGGTCCTGGTAGACCGGGGAATCCTCTGGCTCCCTCGTCTCCCTTCTGTCCAAACATACCCTGCTGTCCTCTTGGTCCAGACTCACCATCACTGCCCTGTAGGAGGTCAGAGCACATTAAATCTAAACATCTTTATTCTGATCTACCATTAGCCAAAGCTTTGGCAAATGCAAGTCCACAAATACTGGTATCTATGTGGAATTTCTCTTATGGGATTTATTTGCCCTCTTAATCCTTTTCAAGGTTATGGAGCATATCCAAGCTCACATGGTAGAGGGTGGGTCGTATTTAAACACAGATTAGGACAGACAGTTTACCGGAATGCCTCTTTCTGAAGGTCACTTTTGGCAATTTTACCCATCCATCAATCCTCTACACCCACATATTCTTGCTAAGGGTCATGGGGCGGTGGAGCTTTTCTCAGCATGCACCCTGGACAAGCCAGTGCACTCAGGGCTCACGCATTGCCAGGCATTTGCACTCACAGGTCATTTAAAATTTGAGTCAACCTGCACATTTTTTGAGCAGGGAAAGCTATGTTTGAGCATTTGGATGACAATGCAAACTCAAAACAATAAGGACAAGGGTGAGGCAACAGTTCTAGCCATGGATCCACTATGGTGCTGGGCTACCTGAGGAACCATCAGTCAGATTACCAAACCTCTTCATCAGAGAATGCGTGATACAGTAAACGATAGCCACAGGGTTATGGTAAACAGTGTACGTGAAAGATGCTGAATTCCTCTGTGAAGTCAGAGGTGCATATAGCTTCAGAGGATAGTAAGGAGGGACTACAGGGAAGGAGCGAAGTGCTGACAAACTGGGAGTTTTCAGTTCAAAAGCATGTCAGCACTTTATAGTGCTTGTGGAGCTCTTGCTGAGCCCTGGGACATGTAGGCAGCCTCAGGCACTGCTACTGAATGCAGAGCAGTTTAGACAGAAATGTTAGGTGATTACAGGTAGCGCGGGCACAGCTTTGAACTGAAGAGTCAGAGACAAGGTAGACTAAAGTTTAGAGAGGCTTTAACCGAGAAAAAAGTCAAGAATCTGACTGCCCCCGACAGCTCCTCGGGGAGATCAGAATCAGAAATGAGTGTGCCTGTAGAGTGTTTGTCATTCACTGTAGCAACTTTCACCACAATCTTTGTTAAAACAATGGCACTCTTTGATTGATGGAATTGGATGGAACTGCCGAAACAACATGGAAGAAAGCCCCAAGCAGTTTTCATGATTAAAATGCAAAGCTTGGTTTGCGTATATCTTGCTTCTACAACTTCTAATGAGAAGTATATTCTCCAGGACTGACAAATTGTATATTTAAAAACTGTTTTCTGAATTAAAGCTGTAACAGAGTAGGAACCACAAAAGTATGTGCATTCAGCACATACTGAAGTTCTAATTAGGTAAATGCTTTCTTAGGGGCTTTAATCATTATAATTCAATGCACAATAACTGTGAATGTTTCATTTTCTGGACTCTGTAGTCATTTCTATACGGGTCTATCTAAAATTTGAAGTGTAGCTGTAATTGAATGAGATACCTGTGGCTATAAGAGATACTTAGGCCAGGAGGCATCACACACATGCTGAGGCAAGTGTAATGTATGACTCACCTGAAGTGCATCAGACATATTTTATGTTTAGACTGCCCCTGGAAAAAATCTAAGTGGCTATTTTTTTTTTGTTTGTCTCATGTTATGTTATTAACGTTTTCATCACAAAACTGTTTTTCCACTGCCAAGTGACATTTCAAAACATTTTCTTATACATTTATGTCTTTTTATTAGACACTGTTGAACACAAAAACACAATTGATTTATAGAAACAGATGTTTACCACATCCTGATGAAGATCAATAATGTTTGATTCCAACTGCTTGACTTAAAGAGAATACCAGTGAATGAGCTGTTGTACACCTTGTTCAGTCTTAGCTAAAAAACAAAATTGGATCATTCATTTCCCCTGCAAACACAAACATGTTTCCAGGATTGAGAGGTGAGGTAGATAGTGTAGTCAAAACTGATAACAGCATCAGGACTTGCAATAATAAAAAGAGGGCAGATAATGGTGAAATTACACAGCACGAGTCAGGTCTCAGTTATTAAGGCATGAATACACATGAGCAGACTGACTCACCACGATAAACAACTGTTAAATAATTTGTTATTCAGCTTGGGTGCACTACCTGCTCACGGCAATCCGTCTCACCCGGTCTATTCTAGCCCCCACAGAGCCCCGCAGATGCTGAATTTTTGCTAGAATGGTTGTTAAGGCCTGATAATTTAGAGCAACGAGATCTCAGTTGCCCTCAGGCCATCAGCTATTGTAGAAACAGGACTGTTTCCTGTTGTGTTAATGAGATAGACGAGTAGAGGATGTTCTGCAGCATACAAGGCAGCATGCTCCGCTAAAACGGGGTACCACACGAGGTAATACAGAGAAAAGATGTATTGCAAAGCAATACAAATTCCAGATTCGAAACTGCAGGGAAAGTGATTACTGGGTGCTCAAACTGTCTAAAAGGACAAGCTGTTAACGAATGTGGTGACAAGAATCTATGCGGGGGAACCCTGCAGCAAGTAATAGTTGGTATTAAAATTAAAATGATTGAAGAAAACTGTAAATGTGGAGGCATGCGAGAAAAGCAAATAATCAAAAAACTGAGAAAAGTCTTGATGAATTGAAGTTAATGGGGGCTGATTATGACTTCCATTAATAAAAGTCAACCAAGAGTGTGTAATAATATTTCACGGGGGAAAAGTTGACGTTGGGAGGAAGCCATACTCACAGCTGGACCAGGAGCTCCGACCACACCCTGAAGACCGCTTGAGCCTGGTGGACCCTAAAAACATAAAGAGCAATGGAAAGTTGTTTATTGTTTACTGGGATCCCCTACTACTTGTTTGCACTCACACTTTAAGCACACGGTAAGCAATACACATTAAGGAAACACAGCAGCAACTCAGATAATATTTGATATGCTGCAGATTGTTAACGGCAAGATAACCTCAGATGAGGTCATTGTAAACTATGTTTACTGTGTTCTTTGATTTATTCAGCTCATATGATAATTCAGCAAATCCAATTTGTGTTCTTTGTTCAATTAGCATGATTTATCATTCAAAACTCATTGCCTTAAAAAAAAAGAAATTCAGGAAAAGTAATAGAGAGAGAAAATAAAGACTCACAAGTTCACCGTTGTCTCCTTTGCTTCCCTTCTGTCCAGGTCCGCCAACTTCTCCCTGAGGTGAAACACAAACAGCAGAGCTCACATCTCTCTCATCCATCTTAAAAGGCTTTCGCCTCCCATGTTTAGTTAAAGTCCAATATCTTAAAGTGTCACCTCTACCAAGAGGGGTAGTAAATATTTCTCAAGAGATTCTAATGTGATTGGCCCACAAAGACCTTTGCCGAGTGTTTGCAATTAATTGATTGGCTCCCTGTCTAACCCCATTGGCACTACGATTGACAAAATGGTGTGATGGAAGACGTGACTGGGATCGGAGAGGCCCGGTGGTTACAAATGCAAGGACAGAGATCTGTGGTTCAGTGTGGATGTGGGATTTGCTGGTCTGAAGGTAAACTGGGTATGTATGTACACTATTGACTTTTTCAGTACATGCTTGTCGGATTGTGTTCACAAATGTTTTTAGTGTGCTTATTTACTGAATGCAATGATCTGATATTATATTATCATTTTAGGCTTGGAGGCCAAACAGAGTGACTGAAAAAAAGTAATTGTTTGTATGCAGAATGTGTGTTTTCTATATATATGCACTGTATGTTAAGATTGGAATACATGTTTATTGAGGCAACTGTGCAGCAGCCTTTGTGAAATAGCCACATGGTGTCATTGCAACAATAGACAGAAGTACAAAAGTACCAAAAATAGCATTTATATAACATCTTCACAATTCTAGACACATTTTGAAGATACTGACAGTAGACATGCGTTGTATTCTTTGATGTTATCATTGTATTTTCCTCTTTTTCATTGAACTACATTGTTCTGACCTCATTATGAAGGAGCTGCTGGTTACAGATGGTGAAATGTCTAAATCAAGGATTACGACAGTAGAACATCTTTACTCCACCTTGTCACCGTCCTCTCCAGGGGGACCCTGAGGACCGGCAGGACCAGGAAGACCAACAGGACCTTGAATGCCATCACGGCCAGCAGGACCCATGGGACCTTTCTCTCCCTAAACACATTACAACCATTGAGAAGTGTCACATTATCATCAGTCAAATCAAAAATGTTCCTCAAACTTAGCAGTGTAAAAGTAAAAGTGAGAACGCTTGACTGAGCGAGAGTTAGATAGAAGTACTCACAGGGCCTCCTTTTTCTCCAGCAGGGCCAGGTGGTCCTTGGGGGCCATTGCGTCCTGTCAGACCAATGGGACCTCCGGGGCCAGCAGCGCCTCTCTCTCCAGGAGAACCCTGTCACCGAAGAACAAAGACCCATCAGTCACTGCTGCATCATGTGGCAGCTAACTAGAGAAGTCAATTTCTAGCAGAAAAGCTGAATGTCACAAAAAAATGTGAAAAGCATGAAAACTCTGACTTCATAGGAAGGCTGCACTAATTACAGACATTTTCTAAGACTACCTTTTCAACAGACTATGGCCATTATAATGCGAGATGTCCTTAATTTTTACAGAACAAAATTGAGGTTACTCAATCAAAAAGGCTACCCTTTACACAAGGACGCTAAAGTTTAAAGCCGCTTTTGCAATAGGCACAAATTCGAATATATACAATACAACCTTTCCATTTCATTACTTTTGAGAAGCAATAATAATATAACCTATCACTGCAGTAAAAAATCAATACAAAGAGAACTTTAATAAAAGTATATAGACTCTACTGTAAGCCTCAAAGCATCACAAGGACGAGAGCTGTGCTGATGATCGGAATCTTATCTAACTCATAGGATTCCGCTGCTCTCCTCTGCTAAGGCCTTGTGGAAGGTCTTTCAATTCTTTCCCACATCAGCGTGTATTATTATTACCCCACTTTTCACTGTGCTCAGGTGGGTGCTCATCACTGTCTAGGTGACCCAAATCACATAAACTGTGACTTCATCTTTGAGCAGCAGTTTATTGCGGCATTCTCCTTCTTAGGTCTCAGGCTGCTTTCAAATAAAACGTGCATGTGTTCAAGCCAAAGACTCACCCCGATTCACACCGATGCACACATGCACACAGTGATTCAGCTGTTGATGGGAGCTGCCACCTGGCACTCATGTGCCTGGCCCATTTCATGACAGCCATTGCCGGTGACACACACACACACACACACAGCACCAAACTGTCACCCCCAGCCTGCCAACCTGCCCGCCAGGACACGCATACAGTCGCTCACACTAATTTCTTTGACTCATATAACTTTGCATTCTTTCTTTCTGCTTCTCTCCCGCTCATTTCACCCACGTTTTTCTCCCACACATGTGATTTTCTGGCTTAAAATCAAAACTGCAACAGAAAAACTTTGTGTTTGTGACTGAACTTGTTGTATTCAGGCTTTCGTTTCTTTTTTTCTGTGCAGTTTCTTGGTGTTTCTCTTTCAAACACACACACACGCACACACACACACACACACACACACACACACACACACACACACACACACACACACACACAACCCTCTGAAAAGACTATGAAATAGCAACACGCAGCACACAGCACTCGCAGACTTTCCCACAGCACAACAGCAGCTCAATCTCTGGCAGGAAATAGATGGAGTAAAATATCAGATCTCTTGTGTGCGTGGGCATTGCACAACCGCCTCCTTTTCAAGGAGTTTTTTTGTCAAACACTATCAAAACAGTCTATCACATGTTTTCATCCAATGGCTCACCTTCAAGCCAATTTAAGAGAACTATCTAATTTCGCAGTGGAAATGGTTTCACTCATTCAGAGAACGCTCCTCTTCTTCGCTGTCATCATCTTTTCATCCGTGCTCTGCATATCTGCCGTCATCTAATCTGGTGGTGCTCTGTCGCTGGTGAGCAGGGGCAATTATCGGGAGCCTGCGTTTAACGCTTGAACAAAATGTCAGACAGTTCAAAGCGGCCTGTCAGTCAGCTTTCTGTTGAGATTCACCCACCGGAGCTCACAAGGCTTCTCATCACATATATCACTAAATGCAGGAAAAAGAGTGCCCTCCTTATTTATGGATTGCAGTGCGACTCCTGCTCCCTTTCACAGCCCAATACTATGCAACAGCAACAGCACAGTTTATGACTGCAGCTACAGCATCTAAGAGGATGTTGCTTCCTGTGATAGGTGTGAAGGGTACATCAGTGATGAAGTGCCCATAAATCACGGAGAAAAACACCCTAACTGTATTGAGGGTAATTATAACTGAGTGGAAAGGTTCTCTGGAGGTAGTGGTCAGATGAAAATGAAAAAACAAGACACTTTCTCCGTAACTACTAAATGTGAGAGGAACACATCTAAGACCAATCAAGTGACTGGTATGAAACTACTGTAGTTGTTAAATTGGGCAATTAAGCGATGATTAGGCTATTCTTCAAGGTAATGTTGTTGATACCTCTCGTTAATTTCATACCTATAAGAATATATCTGAGCTGTTCCTAAAACACAATAAATCAATCAGCATAGTGTTTCCATCAAACCTCAGTACAGTAATTTATAGCCCTCCGATTTTGAACTGTTTATGTTCACAGAGAAAACAAATTCAAAAATTACATTTGACATTTAATATCATATTGAATACTAATTGCCAACTATTGATTTCAATCATATCACCCTGCCCTCCTCTACCACCCTATACACTGCAGTTTACATAATGCGTGCGGCTGAATGACCGGAGAGCAGAGCACAACATGTGCGACTCCATTTTCCAAAAGCACGAGCCACTTTTCACCGTAATCTCTGTGGCAGGAAAGACGGGGTAACCATAGTGACGGGCTACTTACGAGGGGGCCGGGGGGACCCTGAGGCCCTTCTCCTCCCTTTAAGCCAGCTGGACCCTGAAAGCAGAGGACAGGAGAGGGTTAGATCTTGTTCACACTGCAGGCTGAGCTCAATGCCATTCATAGAGCAGTGATCACAGCTGTCAAGTGGGCCTTTAAATGTTACTGTGTGCGTGCATTTGTGCACACGTGTGGAGATATGCGTATACGTACTGTATGTATGTGCACGTGTGTGTGTGTGTGTGTGTGTGTGGAAGGCTTAGATCCAGGCATAAAGGAACTAGCAATTTGTGTCCTATATTCAGAAACAAAAAGGGAGGAAATCTTTTAGTAGTTACAGTAATTATAGTAGCAACTTTCTTTGTATATTAGTGATAATGTTATCATGACCAGAAGATAAAATCAAAGTTGATAAAAGTCTCTTGTTTTGACTCTAAAGTATAGTTTTCTAACAGAATGCCTTCCAGATTTTATGAATGTAAAAGCAAAGGGCAGATAGACCATGTTGCCTTCTTTGAATTTGCACTCACAAATCCCTGTTCAGGGATCAGCTCCCAATTTACTGAGGCAGCAGGTCATTAAAGGGTCAGTTCGCCCAATTGAGCTTTTAAGCAGCTGGATGTGTTCCGCAGGAGTTCAGTCGCTGGATTTGTTGTGATTCACTGAACTCAGAAAATAAATAGAACAACAATAATCATTTTGTGACACTGAAATCCTTATTAATGACATAACAAGATTTCATAACATGTACAGACTGCAGCAGAGAAAAAAAAAAAGACTATTAGTTAATAAATTATGATATATCCTGATCTGTGGGTATATTTATATTATCAATGCAAAACGAGTCCTTCAATGAGCTTCAAAGGAAATGAAAAAGGGAAGACAATGTTCTGAAGCCTGCGGTGGGCCACAAGTTCAAGTATAGTCCATCTATCTCTGGACCCCTGTCATCTCCTCTGGACCCCAAACGTTGAATGGCAACACCTGTGCTGCTGAATGATAGCACCAGGAGGCTGAGATTGCATATGGAAAACACAATTCACCAGAGGCAGTAAAGACTTTCATTATAATATCTAATTTACAGGCTCCGACAGAGCCAGGGGGGGGGGTGCAGTCGCTGCCAAGCAGGCTCTCAGTCTCTACCTCCCCGAGTTCCACATTTCAGCATGGTGCATTAGAAGACTGGAAGGATCTTTCTTTGCCACACACGGAAAAAGTTATTTATTGGCTCGTATATTGCTACTGTGCCTTTCCTCAAGAGTGAGTGATGGGAGGAAGAGTGTGTATGTGTGCGCACATGCGTGCATTAATCTATTTTCTTCTCTTTTGGATAGATATAAACTTGTGTGTATGCTTGCACTATTCTCTCAGCAAACGGAAATGGATTCACTTTTTTACGTTCTTGCTCATACAACAGGTGTACATGTTTATGTATGTTTACGTCTGTGTGTGTCTGGACTTTAAGAAAGAGTGGGAGGCTCCATTTGCTCGTGTAGACTTTGTGTATGTGTGTGTGTGCTGCCTTTATGAAGAGAAAGCCATCCCTCTGCACACATGGCACAAACATAACGGTGGTAATAAGTCTAGGCTGTGTTGTCGAGTACTCTCTTAATGGTCAGCCTTGAAATCAGCTTCAGCCTTAGTCCCTCAAGCTGATCTTCAGTCAGCCTCTAACAGCCATCCGCCGCACCTTGAACTTTTTCTCACCCAGACCCACTTCTTTTGGGAATTAATTTGAGGTTACTCAGCAGGCTATAGGGTTTGTGTGATATGCTCACAAAGTCGTGGTTGTGAATCAGAATCAGAGGGCTTTGACTCACGATCGAACACAAGACAAGAATTCCTTAAAGAAAAGGATCTGCAACTAGTGCAGCTCTAAATGTGGAAATAATTGCCTCTAAAATGCACAGACAACAGCAAATCACAGACATTTTACTGGTTAGCTGCATTTACAACAAGCGACAACCTACTTCAACCTTGCTGAGATTGATGATGATAAAATGTGTCAATATGTCTGGCTCAGTCCTCTCTTATTACTTTCTATGTGAGCCAGTTCTGCACCTTTCCATCAGGTCTACTGCCAAGCTTGACATTTGGTTTAACAGGGGGTAGTTAGCCTGGTAATTGGAGCTAGATTCAACCGGGTGTGTGCTCCGAATGGGATGACGCACTTCTATTTTCACATGTGTATGTTTGCGTGAGTGTGTTAATGGCTGTGTTTGTTTGTTACCATGGCCCCTGGAAGACCTCTAGTCCCTTGGAACCCCCTCAAGCCAGCAGGTCCTGCCTTGCCACCAGGACCCTGAGAGCCTGGATCACCCTACAGAGGGAGAAAAAAATAGCACCCACTTTACTGACATGTGATATACATAGGTCATTATTTAGCAACGTTGCTTTCGGTGAAAACAATGAGCAGAGCTGAATCTGCGAGAGCGGCAGACGAAATGCTTCGAAAAACAATTAAAGTGATTGATCTGTTTGACAAAAGTTGAAATTATACATTATTATGTGGGAAGTGATTAAGAAGTGAAGGATGAAGAAAAGATGTGCCAGGTTTTAACAAGCAACCATCAAAGGATTTATTTATCTTTTAAAGCCATCAATTTTTAACAATAGAGTGCACTTTTGTTAGAACGGCATACAATCTTAAAGAGAAAAGGCATTTTAAAGTTCCTATTCTGATGTGAGTTGTTAAACAGAACAATTACCAAAATTACATCTCAATAAAGACAATGCTCTACATCCCTGAAGAACTACAAGAAAATGTGCACAAATTTGGCCCAAACTAAAAGTAGTTTGTTTTCCTATAACTAATATTAGAATAAAGCTGTTACATTAAAATGCAATGGGTAGCTGGAGTGAAGGAATAACAAAGAAAAAATGTCAAAATTGCTTTTGTAGCAATGAAAATACATCTTTCATTTACCTTTCCACCCTCTTTTCCAGCAGCTCCAGGTAGACCTTGCTCACCAGGTGGACCAGGAGAGCCTGGATGTCCTCGCTCTCCGCTGGGTCCTGTCTCTCCAGTTGGGCCCTGTGAGGAACAACAGAGAGACGTGTTAAGGTCAATGTGCTATAAAAATGTGTCTTAAAACCTGTGTCCTAAATGAGATATGATATTGATACAGTAGTGGTACAGCACATACGATGCTTAGGATATCTCACAATCAAATCATACTTTTTGCCTACTTTTTTCTGTGGTAAATAGAAGTCTTAATGAGGTGGAAGAAATGTATTTTCGGCCCACGCTTTCGGCCCAATATATCTCACTGAAGGCATTAAAAATCCTTCTCAATGCATCTGGTTTACATTCTCTGTATACAGGTTTTTTTTTCAGGATTCAACTGTTGTTACAGCTACATATTTCCAAACATTTTGGTGTTTCATAATTCTCCAACAACAAGACGAATAATAAGTGAGGAGGTGGAACTGTAGCGGAGTACTGTGCTGTATATATCTACCTGTGGTCCAACCACCCCTCCAGGTCCTGGAGGTCCTGTCTTTCCTTGGAAGCCCTGAAGGGGGAAAATAGAAATAATGTTAGCTGTACACATACAGGGTTATAGAGTACGCACTGTCTACTCTGTGCTGCACAAGATGTCAAGTGTCTGAGCCAAACAGAAAATGAGTATGCGCTGTGTGTCAGTGTAAGTTGTTCAAATGTTTCCATACCGGTGGCTAAAATGTACCTTTTGTTGGTCACGAATAAACTAATTCTGATCACTTCTTGTAAAGCGTTACAATTTCTAATACTGGTGCGCTTTACTTTCACCCAAAGAACACACTTTGTATGCCGTCTCAGTTATCTTCTTCCTTGCTATATTTTTTGTACAACCTTTCTGAGAGAGTGAAAGACCAAGTTGGGAGTGAGTGGGCGCTGATGCATGATGGTCAGGGTCAAATGGCACAGCACAAAGCATTCATGGGCGAAACTACCCACTCACCGTCTCTCCTCTCTGTCCAGGATGACCGGGCAGCCCATCTTTTCCTGGCGGACCCTGGGGTTGAACAGGTAGACAGTTCAAAAAAATCAAGACATCAGGTCGTAAGAGGGTATTAATATTTGAAAAGCTAATATGAAAAGTGTCAACGTGGACTTGTTGCTAACGCAGAGACAGTTTGACAGCAGCTACTTACGTTGGGTCCTTTAGGTCCGGGGAAACCGACGGGTCCCTGTGGTCCTTGAGGTCCCTTAAATGAAAAGAAAAGTGAATCGAGTGAGTAAAGAGAAGAATGGATAACACACAACACAACTTTAAATGCTTCTTCATATTTAATTAGATATCAGTTGCCAAGTCCAGCTTTATTACCATGATAACAGGGAAATCATTTATTTATCTTTTTATTATAAATGTTTATAATACTATGTCATTGTTTCAGCTTGATATAGAGTGAAGTACACAAAATTGAGTCTCTTCAGGTAAATAAACATACATTTATAATTTGAAATTAGTAATCAGCAGCTACTGTAGAGCGCACACACCTTTTTTATTGATTTTATTTGACAAATAGCTTTCAAATTAGCTTTATTTCTAACATTAATTATTTCACTTTGAGTTCAAGCACGAAGCACCTGGTGTACTTTTTGCACAGATCAAAAATCTATCTCATACTAACCCTCTCTCCTGGTGGACCCCCGGGTCCATCATTGCCTGAAGTGCCCTGAGGAGAAAGAGAAGACAAAGAGAGACGTTGTCAAAGTGTGAAGTGTGAAAAAGTCTGTTTGATCATGCACATTTATGTTTCTACCTAAGTTGGTACTCAGAATTGTAAAAGTAAGTGAGCAAATGAACCCGTTCATTGACATTATTTTCTTTTCTAATGCAGGTCAAGGTAACATTCTGGATTTGTTCATGGTGTTCACTTTCATGTACTTTCTCTACATCATTTTAAGCACGCCGACACATTCATTATCATCGGCCCCACCATTATAAACTCTAAAATGGTCTCGGCTCTCACCTTTGCACCTGGCTTTCCCGTTGGTCCTCTAGCACCACGGCCACCACGTGGACCCTAAATACATAGCATATAAAACAATAAGGGGAAAAATGACATTTTCAGTATTTTGCTCACTATTAGAATACCTAAAAAAAAAACAATAAATACCAAAAACACAGAACGTAATTGTATAAACGGCAGGTCATCAGTGCCTTCCCTGCCAATCTCTACAACTCCCCACCCAGTGCATATGCCCCTCAAAAGACAACAAAATAAAGCCGATACACAGCTACACTAAGGGAAGGTATTTTCATTTGAACACAATAAATCGTTTGTGTGGAGGGCTCGAGCTGACTTGGCAGGCAGATGAATTGCCTACCGTCGGACCACGTTGTCCTCTAGGGCCTGCTTTGCCGGCGATTCCCTGAGAAAGAAAAACAAAAGCTTTGATTAAAGACAAAAGCATTCCTTGTACCAACAGCGAATATAAGTGCTTTTTAATCTCTCTCTCTTTTTTTAAAGCTTTTTTTTAAGTTGAACCAAAGATCTACAAATACAAATATCAGACAGACACAAATGCTGAGGAGATTGGAGCGAGGGATCAAATAGAAACATCTGAGCATCTTTGGACAAAAATAAATAATCAAATTGCTGAGGTAAGTGGTTACCCACAGGCACTTGACAGCTTGAACTACCTGTCAGTTCTAGCACGGCGGGGGCCATGGGTGACTGCGTTTCAATGTCTGTCTGAGAGCAGAGAAAAGCTTGTCTCTTCAAAAATAACCCTTCCCACCATTCTGCAACTCCCAATCTCATCCCTCTCATCTGTGACGCTTTTCAACCGCTCTACGCTAACATGGCTGAATACAGTAGTCAGTCCTCCCTCGAGTGCTAAATCCCGATTACACAAGGGCCAAAGGTATGCTTCACGGAGCCCTGACCTCAAACCCATCCAACACTTTTTGGATGAACTGGGAGGTCTGGCCTTATCGCCTAATATCATTCAATGACCTCACTAATACTCTGATGGCTGAATGGGAGCAAATGCCTGCAGCCAGATTCCAAAATCTCCTAAACAAGCAGGGGCTGTTAGCGGCATAATAATGCCAGTGCTTTTGGAATAAAATGTTTAGCAATCACATGTTTGGCTGTTTATATATTTTGTAGAGCAGTTCTTACATAATTGGGTTATCAAAACAGTGAAATACACTTTCTACATCCAAATAGAACATTATCAACAAACTAATTTGCTGACACACTTGATTCTTAAACTATTATATTGTACACGCAACATCTATTAGTTGTCTGTCCGTCCTGGAAGAGGGATCCTCTTGCTCTTTAAGGGCTTATCAACTCTCAATCCATCTGCTGCACAGAAAAAAAAGAGTATATATGTCTTTGATAGGAAAGAGAATGATGAATTCTGTCACTCACCCTTGCTCCCTTCTCGCCATTTGCCCCGGGGAATCCAGGGAAGCCGTTGGAACCCTGCGAGACAAGTACAGAAAAAGAAAGAATGAAGTGACTGAGAGGGGAAATACATGATATAGTTGTAGGGTATAAAATAAGGGATAGCATAGTCTGTGTCCAGTACAAATGTGACAGAGGCTGAAGGGAAAGTAGCACTATTCCTTCATGCTTTACTGACTAGGCTAATTAATAGAGAAACTGTGAAATCCTAATATAAGTACTGCCACACAAGCCAGCAGATTTCTATCATAGCACTACGGTTTATAGGTTGTGAGTTACTATAGATAACAGAGGTCCTTCTTCTAATGCCCAAGAGGAGCCCAAAGAGAAAAGTCTCCTCCTCGCCACTTTGACACTTTCTGTGCCGTTAGGTTGTTAGCAAAGCAAAATAGGAAGATAAAAAAGGCGTGGGAGCAAATAAAGACAAAGGAAGGGGAAACAGCAGATCCCCCTTGATACCCATCAGCAATTTAGTTATTGGACTTTCGCAGGCTGTGCCCTCTGATAGCAGCGCTGGTTCCAGTTAAACAAATACTAGGAGGGCAATCACTGTGGGATGAATAAAAGGAGGACCAAGCAGCTTACCAATACAGCCGTGCTTTATGCAGCATTAGGTAGCAAAAATATGTATTCAACCAATTTAAGTAAAACAATATATATATATATTTGTTTCAGCAGCACTACAAGGTCACGAGCATATACATGCATATGTATATGAGGCATAATACTGTTCAGTATAAGCAAGGGCACTACACCCAAGGTAGCGTGGGCAGAATTGCAAGAGGTAAACAGCCCAACATTGTGGAGACAGCAAGAAGGGAGATCTATGCTGCTTAATTTGTTTTTCACAGAGGTGCAGTTATGGTAAACTGAAAGGAGAGCTGGTGCTGGACAAGCCTGACCACAGAGATAAGACAGTCCACTGAAGCTATTGCAAATGGCATCCGGAATTAACGGTGGGGGGGGGGGAAAGCTGTTAACAGAGAGTGATGGGGTGCAGCAGCCAAAAACACAGCCAGTGGAGGGTTTCGTGCACGGGCTGATTGAGGGGGATAAAGGCTGCAAACAGACACAGACTTTGACCCTGAACATTGATGATACTGTGCATCGGGAACATGGGAGTTTTTAGTTTCTTTCTCAAACAGCAAATAGCACTTGATCTCTTAAATTCAATGAATCAATTTCAGGAAAGCGTTCCAAGAAGGATTATTTTATTATTATTGTAAAAGTTACTTTCAAATATAAAGTAAAGTATCTTTCAAATGATAGAGGATTAGATTTATAAAAGCGTCCTCATTTTAAGTTCTTAAAGACAGCTTTATACTTTGTTTTAAGTTAGAGTGGCTGTCGCAATCTTCAATGCTTCTCTCGAGGAATAAAACACTTCAATTGAGGGCTATAGAGAGGAAACAATGGCGTTGTTTGTACCATGCGAATGCCAGGATGCCTTTATTGTCTCTTCAGAAACCTTTTTTTGAAGCATAAAGAGTCTAAAAAGAACATCTGATCCTGGGCTCCACTGGGAACTTTCGTGGGCAGCCTTTGTTTAAACCCATTTATGAATACAAACAAAGGAATACCCTTGGTGGTTTTGCCATTTTTGTATAAAATATCCAGTTATTAGAAGAACTAATACAATTGTTTGCAAATAACTGGAGAGAATACTGTTCATTGGAATAGTAACTCGTATTTTCTCCGTGTCTCTTATAAATTTGTGTGCCATGCTCAGCTCAGATGACGCTGACATTAACAGACAAGATGTTGCGAGAGTAGGTGTATCTGACCCATCACATCAGTGCCATGCTGTCAGTGCTGACAACAGCAGAGAGGAAGAAGCGAGACTGCAGTAGGTGTCTGCTTGGGTTTGTGTTTGTGTGAGTAAAGGTTAGTCAGCAAGTCTTTAGAAAGGCATATGAGAACAAGTTTAGATATGAGTGGATGTTGGTCAGACAGACATCGTAGAAGGTGATGCAGTCACATATACAATAAACATTCACATATGTATACACATGCACACATACACGCGGTGTGCCCACACAAGCATAATAGCTTCACAAAGGTTTCTCTCTGCTGCTGCCAGCTTGGTACTGATAAATGATTTTTTTTCACATGGCTTACTAAAATGACCATTAGACTGCTTCAGCTTGCACAAAATTCAGCTTACAAACACCAAAAGAACTGACCACATTACTCTGATATGTAAGTCCTGACGTTGGCTCCCGGTAAGTCACAGAATTGACTGTTTTATAAATCACTAAATGGAGCAGGGTGTTGCTGCTCAGATCACTGGAGAGTAATCTGTTAGTAATAGCTACTGTCAGAACTAAACATGGTGAAGCAGCTTTCGGCTGTTATGCTGCTCAGCACTGGAGCCAACTTCCTGATTGTATTAAAGGTGCACCAACTGTCCCTAGCTTCAAATCTGGACTTAACAAAAAGCATCTGAGACCAGTTAGGTTTTAACGGATCTAATGCACTCTTCCTTATTAATCCTTTATTTTCATGTGGGCTTCTTCAACTGTAAACATTACCAAGTTGGCCAACCTCTCCTCCGTTGACTTGCCCTTGCCCAAGACACTAAACAATACAGCCAGATCGCTGACCTCCCAGTGGAGTGGAGGCATGCAAAGGAAAAGTTCCCCTGAATCGATCGGTAAAGTGCATTATTACTCTCATCACACACCTTGGAGCCTTGTCGACCAGGGTACCCAGGCAATCCAGGGACTCCAAGTTTTCCCTAAAAAGGAGCGAAATAAAAACAAAACAAAGATGATGAATTCTCATTGTGTCACCAGAGACATTGTTGGGAGACTGAAGTAAAGTTCACGGAAGCATTGCGAAAAGCAATAAACTTATACCCATAAAGTTTTACTTCTAGTGTGGGGAATATTTTAATACCATGCTTATGAACATGACATCATCCGTGCAGAGGCTTTTCTGCTGTTCACCCAAATGTGAATTTACTTTGGTTCATATAAGAGGTACACGGAATCTGATGTAACTATCCCATGTGCTTTTAAACTATGATCAAGTATTAGTTTTAGTTTTTATTATGAATTTACTTATGACTCTGGTGCTGCTTATTCCTACTTTTACCGCACTGTTGCATTGATTTTAAGCAAATCAGGATGAGGATGTCAGCTAAATAAATCATTTCACTATTGATACAGACATATTGCAAAGCTCATCTGTGTGGCAAATGGTGATATAAAGTTTAATAAGATGACTGGAAAAACTTGCTAAACAAGTTTAGAGAAACAGTTCTCCCTTTTTTTTAAATACATATCTTCTAATTATTTTCAAGCATATTACATTTTGTTGCTTAAATCACAATTTCTTTTCACAATCACAAAGTTTTTTATGATTTAATTAAGATCACAAAGTCTAGCTAAGCCTATTTATTGTATTAGAAAACAATTAATTGATCAGAACTCCTTTATAAACTTATTTCTCTTCAAATTCTGCAAATACTGCAGCACCATGAAGCAAAATACAGCAAGATCAAAGCTCCATGGGAAATATTGGCAACATAAGCCAAATTAAATTGGACTGTTATAGAGCTGAAGGAGAAAATCTAAACTTCAATATGATCAGGACTGCTACAAAACTATAGTAAACCACTCTCTTCAGACTGCTTTCTTTGCAGTTCATTAAATACATCCGTATTAATCCGCTGTCAGCAATCTTGACTCTAGTCTGGTTTTTGACTCAGAACAGCTCTGAAGCAGACTTTGTATTCCTACATCTATTCATATATGAGGATTTATACATGTATGTTTTAACTTTGCATCACTCTGTAAAGCATTTTAATTGCGTTTTATGTAATTATCCTATGCAATTACAATCAAACTTACAATCAAATCGATCAAAATGAAAATGGACAGGTATTGATTATTTACCTTCTCTCCAGCTGATCCCAAAGGACCAGATTCACCGTTGGGTCCCGACTTGCCCTTGGGGCCTTCGGGGCCATCCTCTCCTCTGGATCCTAATACACCATTCTCACCCTTGATGCAAAGAAAACAAATAAACAGTGTTATTATCTTCACTAACCCTATCACTCTCTGCAACTGCACACATCAGTATTCTCTTCAGGGTTGATGATTCACCTTGTCACCCTTGAGACCCATGTCACCTTTGAAGCCAGGGAATCCATCCTCTCCCTGAAGATGAAAGAGAGAAGGAAAGCGGTTGAGAGCTGAGTGTTTTATTAAGTATCACAGAGGCAACACTGATACAGTCCAGTTACATCGTTCACATGGAAGATACTACATACTACATAAGACTACAGATGGACCACTTAAGTGATGAAATCATAGTGAAAGTGTATCATGGCAGACTTATAGTATTACTGTTAAAAGTATAAAGGTGCCTAAGGATAGTTTAACACTGACACCTAGTGGTCACTTGAATGAAGCATTTGCAAAAGCTGTTTTGAAGCCACAGTCTCCCGTCTATCTGTTATTCTACTGACATCTGCTGGTTCAAATTCAGAATGCCGTTATCCATGTCTTCCAAGTCACTACTGTGTTACTGATGCCAATTTACTGACCGATTTTCACACACAAAACCACTAAGATTATAAATCATAACATAATAAAACATGAAAAGCATATAACCGACTTGGGATTGGTAGAATACCTGTCCCATTGATTTTACTTAAGACATTAATTAGTAGAAGAGTATCAGAGGTGAGGAGCTTTTTTACAACATGTTCAGTGTTCTTCGGTAATCTCTGAAGAGCTTAAATTTCCTGTCAATAGAGTAGAAAATCTATCCAGAGGCACTGCGGTACCAACAGGCTATGTTCAACCGCAGCAACCCAAGAAAACAATGGCAACAGATCAATCTCCCCTGAAACTGCCCTACAAACAGCCTCATTCTAGTTTAATGTTCCATGCTCCATTACGGCCTAGTGGCATGAGGACTTAACGGCCAGCCTGATGGGCCCTTAAGAGTCTTTTATTCCACTTGCTGGATTGCAACTTGCTGGATTGATCCTTTTTTTTTTTTTTTTTTTTTTTTTTAAAGGGAATTGCAATTATGGGTCCATTTTTGACATCTGTCAATCATGCTGAGGAAGGAGACGACAGTGCAGGGGTGTTTACCTTTTCTCCTTTGCCCCCTTTAAGGCCTCTAATTCCCTCAGCACCCTGGGGAGAAAGGACAATAAAGTCAGGATAAAATTCAGAGAAAATGTAAATGTATTGTGTATTGTGCATAACAAAGAGCGCTTACTTTCACACCGCGAGGCCCAGGGTAGCCGAGGGACCCAATAGGACCAGGATGACCCTAAAAGATTGCAAAGAGTGTCTTGTGATTGGTGATGTAACATTGCATTAGTATGCATCAAACTGTACTGTAATGTGTTTCTGCTGTATTAGATTCACTAGAGATCTGCCCATTGATTTTCAATGATTTCCTTTTGTTTGTATTCAACGGTGAACCATCAAGAAGCTATTGGACAAAGTTATGCACATGAAAATAATAAAAGTATAAATAGGCACATTGTTTTATTCTATTTCATGTTACCAGACATAATCTGAATTGTGTGGTTATATTAAACCTAAACTAATTCTACATATAATTATCTGCAACGTCTGCTTTTCCCTGTGCAGCGACACGCTTGATGAATCCTTGACAACAACTGTAATTACATACTTTCCTGTAAAATCCAATTTAACTTTAGCTTAACTACATTATACTTACACCCGCTCCTTTCTCGCCTGCAGGACCTTCTTTTCCTGGGTGGCCCTATGAAATAAGACCAAGAGATTGAGTGTATCAACAGCTGATCACTTTTTCAGTTGGTATTCTGACTAAATGATGTAAAAATGAGAAAGGAGTCAGGTGTGTTACTTACAGGAGGGCCGTCAGCACCAGGAAGGCCGCCCAGACCTTGTTTCCCGTGAGGTCCCTATAATAAGAAAGTAATAAATGGGAAGTTCACAGACAGACACTAGACGGACGAGTGCACACCTCGCCATCTCTGACAGTATTATGAAGACTGGCTTCAAAATACTGCTTGAAATCTCATTAGATAACCACAAAACCACAAATAATAATACTACTTTGAGTTGCTAAGTGCTTATGCAGGAGTCCTATGGTTATATGTATATTGTGTGTGTGTGTCCATGCTGGTGTGTGTTTTGGCCTTCGGAGAAATCAACAAAGGCCTATAGCTTAGACAGCAGTGTAATCTGCAGAATCACTTATGAGGCCATGACTGAAACATTCACTTGTCGGGCAGCAGAGTTGTGGTGGGAGGACTGAACGGGTGGCTGGGTTCCCTTTTTTACTTACCTTTTCACCAGGAGGCCCGATCGGACCTTGAGGGCCAACAATACCCTGAAAGACAATCGAGACAGGTCTCGTAATTAGAACTGTCAGAAAAGAATGTAGGTTCACACATCTTGAAGACTTCATGAGAATTCACACAGTAAGAAAAAAAAAAAAACGGAAAAAAAGAAGTTATTGACAGTTAAAATAAGTGAGCTGTGTTATATTTCTACGGGCCAATGTTTTCCCTGAAAGGTGTTAATCTGCCTCTAGCCAGGTTTTACTGAACTGAAGGTATTTATTCAACCTTTGTACCATCAGGATAGGTCCCTACTAATACTTTCCAGGGGCGTGACACCATCCTGTCCAGGCTGTGAGCGTCAGCGGGACTGAAAATCTCACCTGGCAGTGGTCATTTAGCCCTGGCTACAATATTGGGTGCCCTGTTTTGTATTAAAGATGACTCCAAAATGGAATATGTTTTTCACTCTGCTACCAACTGGACAATGTAATGGTGTTAAGTGCGACCAAATGAATACAATATGTCATCTCATCTCAGCAGGACAGAGAGGATGTTTATCTTCTTTGTGGCTGCATAAAAACAATACTAGTGAACACCAGTGAAGTATTTGCAGTATTTTGGTGTCAGTTTTGTGGAAAGCACCTTGAGGAATGAAGGATATAGAGAAAGAAGAAGAAGAAGAAAAAGGGAACTAAACCAAAAGAAAATGATGTCTTAGAAGGTTTGATTAACAAAACAGAATTGCAAGTGATCATCTGAGTTCATAGCACTCCCCGTTGCACAATGGATATGGCAATGAAGATGGAGCATGAAAAGGGCAGACTCAGGCAGAGAGCACTGGGAAGAAGACAGATGAAGAAAACAGGAATTAAGAAATCGAGCAATAGAGGAGAGATGGGGTCCAGTACAGGAGAGATGAAGTGATCAGACTAGGTCAGAAAAAAGAGATACAGAGAGGAAAGACAAGAAACTTACATGTGGACCAGGATTACCCTGTTGCCCTGCAGGTCCCGGCTCTCCTTGTGGACCCTGTGCATAAAAAGCAAAAGAGCGGACGCCATTAAGAAGAATACTGCCAATAATTTCAGAAAATGAATATAAATGCAGTCAAAGACAAATATATTTTACACATAAGAGCAATGAGGGGCAAAACGTAAAGTCACTTGGTACCATGTGTCTTTTGTAGTTTTCCCACATCAAAACTGTGGTACTGGGTGAAGTGAAAGCTTTGGTTGACCTTGCTTGGATATACTGGTTGAATTGGCTTTATCGAATCTATGTCAAGAATGTGAAACAAAAAGGTGCAAATGGCTAGGAGAAATATGACACACTGGCACCAGTTGTCTAGCCTTATCTTAGTCGTGTTTACTTTCTATCAGAGCCAGCCCTAAAATCTGGTGGCTGGTCAGAATCTGAGTCTGGCTATGAAATACAGCTTTCTTTAAATACAAACTGTGGGTCTACAGAGCCATCTGGCTATGGATTGAGGCTCATGAGACAAACTGGAATGGTGGGTTGTTAGGTTTCCCTGCTGAGAATTGGTGTGTCACAGACAGACAAGTCCTTTGTGAAGCAGTCTTCTCCAGCTGTTACAACAAACACGTAATACAAAAGCTGGATTGAGAGAAGTTTAGGTTGCCTGACTGAGGTTGTTAGCAGGGCTTTGAGTATATTTGAGTTCTTCACTAGTAGAGTATGTCTTAAAAACATCCATATGTTAGAGGCTGGGGTGAGCATCATAAGGGTTTATAAACCCTTTGGGAAGCTTTACTACTTTGGATACTTTCAAGTGTTCTGCTTTGATTTTTTATCAACCATATACACCATATTGCCATTGTTTTTTGTGTCCCTTTAACAGCTGCTTAGTTCTTCAGCTCAGTCACTCAGTGACCACAGACGGCGTGTGGGCTTGTCCAGCTGTCTTGACCGATGATATGTTCCCATCCCACCGAGAGCCTCCGAGAAGCTGAACGCATGATGGAACCAGGCACAGACAAGCTTTTCTGTTTCATCCCTTGCTTGAGCTTAGTGGCTCTTCATCACGGCCTATTAAGTCAGCAGACTTTGTAATTCATTGAAAAGGTCTGACAACTATAATAAGACAGCCCCTCGTCTCCATCTACCATCTCTAATCAGCAAATGACCAATGACTCCTCCGACACAGGAGTAAAAGGTCACTGACCTGCAACTGGCCACAAGCAAACCAAATGACATACTGATTGCGTAAGTGGTCTTTACAAATATGTGTAGGAAACAATCAGATTTGAACTCTCACAGGTATATATTAGAAATTAGCAAAACATAAATATTTCTCACCAGGTTTCCTTTGGAACCAGCTTGCCCATCAATTCCAGGAAGACCCTAAAGAGATCAGAAATTTGACAATGAAAGTCGACATTCCATTGAGCTATAAAACAAATGATGAGCAGTATGAGAATCAAGTGATACAGGAGATGTACTTACACGCTGTCCTCCAGCACCTTGAGACCCTCTGGGGCCAAGCAAACCTCGAGTACCCTGTACATGGGGGAAAAAAAAAACACAGGTTCAAGAAAATTATACTTAAACATGTAGTTATTCATGTTAATTTGTCTGAAACTATGTGTTGCATTTAGAAATAGGCAGGCTATAAAAACTGGCATATTATCCTGAACATCTGAAACCCTTAAAACGGATTTGACTGTGTGAAGTGTGTAATATACTGACCCCCTGTGGACATATCTGGTAACTTCATGTATATTTCGAGAAGTTAACATGAAAGTTTCTTAGCTCAACATCTTAAGTCATGCACTTAAAATCATTGCACTCACTATGCTCGTTCACCAAACTGACAGTGTGTGTGATAAAATGCCGTGCAACTATTGCTTTAAAAGGACAACTGGTATGTTTCGGGTATGACGTGGAGCAACCATTTCTCATTCAACTGTTACTAATGCAACTCAACGCATGGTCCATTTGAACTAAACCAGACAGAATGTGGCAGTTTCTCACAATGGCAGAACAACTCATTTCCTACTTCTATTTTCTGATCTGTTATCCAGAGCCATTCCGTCTCGGCAAGGTTGAGATTACAAACGAAATTGCCCTTGCAGACAGGAATGTCATTACAGTTGCAAATAGAGAGGAGGGTGAGGCTGTATGTTTAAATAATTGCCAAAATGAATGTAGAAGGAAAGAGGGGACCTGTAGCAGCAAAGGAATAGGCCCTATATTCATCAGATTCTTATCTTTGTCCAGATGAAATATGGTGGAGTTTAACAATCCTGTCCAACTGCGTCATCAGATATTAACAAATACACTTACACTGTCTCCAGCAACACCTCTCTGTCCAACCTGGCCATCTTCACCCTTTGGATAGAAAGAGAAAAAGTGCGTTACCAAGGAATGCAGAGAAATTATGAGAACAAGCGTATTTTATGTGGTTGATTGATGTACTACATACCCTTGGGCCATCCTCTCCTGGAGATCCTGGAGGACCTGTCGAACCGTATTCTCCCTGGAGAGAAAAGGAATATCAACTAAGAGCGGGAGGTAACAAGAGAGTCCACAAGCTTGATCACTGCAGCTAAGAGAAGAAAAAAAACTCCTCATTTTTGACAGAAAACATAGAGAAACGATGCTGAAACGAGAGCAACATAAAAAAATAAAAAAAAAGTCATCAAAACTGCCTATAATCTACAGTACACCACAATTGGCATGGAGCTATATGGTTTCCACTATTCATAGTGCGCTATAAGGACTGGCCTACCTCTGGTGGCCCTGTAATTACTCAGTATAGGATGAGGCATGAAAGCCTGTCTAGAAATACCCCTCTGTGATCTCCGTCCTGTCTCTTCAGTCTCTCTATGCAGGCCCAAATTCCACAAACGCCAAACTCAGCACTCCTCATTCGACTCCAGGTGTGGTTAAACGCACCCCAAGTGGTTCTGGAGTGGGTCCCACCTCTCATAAGTGGATCAAAAGCCCTAATGAGCTCCGCTGGTTAAGAATTCATATCTGTCAACACTTGGGTGTACATGAGATGGATGGGAGGTGGCCTTTGAGCTACCAATCAGCCCTGATTCTTCTGTAAGGACATGGTACAGAGCGGCAATGACTGTGATCAATGCTGACTTTTTTTGGGTCTAGAAATAAGAGACTGCAGGATCTTATTTTGGGAGACAGATAGAAGCCTTTAATGTTGTTTGTCCTCTGACCTTGTTCATTCACCGAACCGTAAATTATCTTTCCTCATACTCACTCTATGCCCCTTTTCTCCAGGAAGACCAGGGAGGCCGTCGAAACCTCGGTCACCCTGAAACAGCACAGTAACAAGTGGTTAGCTCTATCAATCACTTTTTCAAATGCATCCCACAGACACTCACTGGATTATTGGATAACCTGGTGTGCACTTTACCTTAGACCCTGCCTCTCCTGGCATTCCTCGAGAACCGTCGGCTCCATTACGACCCTGGAAGACACGCAAATATCATGTCAGGCTACATGGAAATCACATCAGAGAAATATCTAATTATCTTTAATGGTTCTGAAGATCAGACAGGAAAGATGCCATCATATTTTCTTACTAGTTTATAGTTAAATAAACATTGCTTTATGAATTTACACAACATGCAGACTTGATTATTGAGTGCAGCTGACGGATTTGAAATAAGGCCATGTTTGACTTTTCTCTTTGGGCACTGTAGCACTGATCCTTGCACTCTTGATGGCATGAAACATTAGACATTTGGGAATTTAAACTTAATGTTCTGTTGCAATGCAGTGTTGCTCTAGAGGAGATGAATAAAAAAAAAGTATAAAAACATCCTGGTTGAGCCTGGTTGGTAAGAACTTACCCTCTTTCCTGCTTTCCCTGAGGGACCAGTTGTACCCTGAAGACCTCTGGGTCCCTATGTGGTAAACATATGAATGTTTTAAATACAACTTTAACATTTAAAACATTATTTATGTTACAATAACTTTATGTCGAGATGTATAAAGGTGAAAAAAAGCTTTAAAATTAACTTACTGTAAAAAAACAAAGAGTTAAACAAAATGATAATAGGTACCTTTTACTGAAAAAAAGATGCTCATCTCACCTGTGGTCCGGAGTCGCCACTGTCACCTTTAAGTCCAGCAGAACCAGGACCTCCCTTTTAAAAAGTATTCAACAAAGACACACAAATTGAAACATGTTTGCACTGCAGACAAATATTTTGCAACGCCATCATTTCGCCAGCAAACCAGAATAATCTATGTTGGACTAGAACCAAATGCGAATCCAAACACACATAACGTATGATTTAAAACTTGGAATGTAGGTATACAACAGGAAGACTTCCTGGAGCATCTTCGCATGTGAACAAAATCCCTCTGGTGTTAAGGAGTAACACTGATGTGTTGTTTGAGAAAGGCATAAAAGCACTGGTCGCGTGGAAGACACACCCAAAACAAGAGAAAGGCTTTGGCTATTGTCAGTTTTCAAGAAATGCTTGTGAGATGATCCTGTAGATATCACAGTTCATTCAATAATTCAAGCTGGATATCAGATGTTGATGGAAAAAAATCAAATCTGCTCACAGGCAGATAGGGAAGAATGTGGCGTGTGTATGAGTATGTGCTTATGCATGTGGTAGTGCATGTTAGGAAATAAATATTGAGTTGAACCCTTTACAGGAAGAAGAGCTTATCACTTAATGTGTTGCTCATCAACTGTGAAATGAATGGAAGTAGCTCATTGGTGTGTATGTGTTTGCGTGTACAGAGTTTTCAAAGGTTGACACTCACCACAGGACCAGATCTTCCTGCCATGCCCGCTGGCCCTGAAGGACCTCTCATGGCCAGCTGTGGATCAGACAGAAACAACTCATAATCCACAGTTCGACTGACAATGTCGACACACTTGCATTTATACCCGTCTACGCCAAATACATGGATCAAAAAGCAATATTTTCTCTTTCACCAAAAGAAGTAAGGATTATGTTTGTTTTGCATTAGAAGTGCAGCCATGTCCACGTATTGTAAGGTTCTCTTTGCAGTCAGTTTATTAGCATTCTGAACATCTGCTCTTAGTCTTCTAGTTTTAAAATATTTTGGGGCATTTTGCCCTTATTTGACAGCATAGAGACAAAGACTGGATATGGGGAGAGAGAGAGAAGGGAATGACATGCCACAAAGGTGCCAAGGCTGCAATCTAACAAGGAACTTTGCGGTGATGTGGCATGCGCTGTGACCAATCGTTTACGAAAGCACTTGGTCTGGTTTTAGTCTGAGGGAGATACTTTTAAAAGATAAAAGCCTCTGAAAATAAGTGGCCGTTATCCTCATGTTTTAATCTCAAAATCTAGACCATAACGCACAAATTCTTGTTTGTTTATGGGGTTATTATAATTTTGCTAAATGAATGTGTGATGTATGTTAAAATGCCACTGACTTAGCAAATTTGCCAATGCAAAGGAAAGCAATTTATGCCCTACTCTACACTTAAGGCCGACTCACACATATTAGTTAGTGCGTTTGCATTGTGGCAGGTTTAAGGAATCATTTTCAGTGCAAATGGGTCAATAAGAGTTCAACAAGTTCCACAATTTGTTCCTTCAAATCTCTTTACATTTTGAAGAACTAACAACTCCTGCCATGTTTTTTCTTGTTCCTGCCTCGGGCTAAACCTCCGGCATAAAAGACAAATATAGAAAGGCGACAAGTGCTTTACTAAATACCATTTCACCAGTTTTGGCAGCCCTCCCGCTCCATAGAGTGTTGTGAATGTGTGAATATTCAGTGTTTGTACAAGATTTAATGATCTCCAAGTGTTCTCCTATAGATCACACCTTGCTTACGGCCACATCATTCAGCCTGTTTTAACAGTGCTATGGTTATCAGGACCCCTGAGGGAGTGTGAACATCTGGTGTGGCTTTAACGTACTACCTAACCTGACACAGGTCCATATTTTGGAATTTGTACAATTTATAGGATGAGTGAGACTTGTGAATAGTGACTCCTCCTTTCATTATTCAAGATACTTTCTGAGCCGAAATGTTTCTTTTATAAGCTTTGTTAAAAATAATTTTGACCATAGTATTTAATTCGAATGAAGTTAAATGGCAGCTAGTGAGAGTACATTGAGGCACAACAAGTCAAAGTAGAGTGACCCCTAAACTGGGAAGGATGCACTGGGTCATATTTACAGTGTATACTTACCCTAGCCTGAGAAAGGATGGCCTGAGCCTGAGCTTCCTGGGCTGAAACCACAGGTCCCTTGTGTGACTCACCACCAGCACGGAACTGTCAACCACAAATCAAAAAAGAAACACAATTTACAAAGTGAGCCAACAAACGGTCTCCCCTGGTGAGTGTGTTCAAATAAAATAAAATGTTTTCGTTAAACCAGGCTGTAAAGCTGTCACCATGCCCCCCCCACACACACACACACACACACAAATATGCTGGCATACAAGCACAGGCAGCTCACACACATACACACAAGTATGTGTCGCCAAGCCTTTCAAAGGCTCAGTCACTGGTTCCACTCCATTGCACTGGCTGACATTTACATGGTAAGTGATTTGTAACCCAAAAAAAATAAGTCTGCGATCCTTTGGCCTAGTGGTGATGCCATGAGGTAATGAAGTGAGTTCACGGGCTAGTGCCTGAGATGAAGGGTGTATAATATGTGAGGGTAATAAGACAGAAATCCCAGTGGGCATGTGAAAAAACGGCAGGACTTACTGGAAGCATCAGAACGGTACCTGGAGGCCCAGGGATACCGTCGGAACCAGGAATACCAGAACGCCCTGGAGGACCCTGGAGAGCCAGAGGAGAGAGAGAGCGCTTTAGGGTATTATGTCGCATTGTGAATGTCTAATGCAATTTAAGCTGAGGTCAATAACCAAACCAAAGTATATGAACTCCCCATTAACTGCTATTTAAAGGTATTGTTGGAACAAACACATCCTGAAAGTATTGAATTTAAAACATCAACTATTGCTTTGTTGACTGGTATACCAGTGCGTAACATTGCTAGGAACAATTAATTAGCTGTGGTTAATAACCAAGCCATGTATTGTGCAATAGGATAAGATGATTATTTTGCTATTTATAATCCCCCGAAGGTGCTTTCAAATTGAAAAGAAGAAAAAATATTATCAGCACTAAAAAACAACAGTAACAGTGCAGAGACTGAATAACTAATCCGTTCACAGCACCCCCCCTTCTTTATCTACAACAATTTCAATGGGAAGGTATTTTGCTGCAGTCTGCATTGTTGTTGCTTATTCCAAATAGACATTTAACTAATCCCACCGAGAGGAGTAAGACAGGGGATTCAATCATGGGTGAAGTAAATGAATGTGTTTTCATTAAGCTGGCCTGGGGATATTGTCTGCGGGGGACCACCGACTTTAAAACAAGAGTAGAAATCCGCAGCCATAGCCCTGTGGGGCTATACTGCTCATCGCATGTAAACAACTTAGAACTTTAGAAATGGAAAGTGTAGGCTGAGACTGAGCCAATCTTGTCATGAAATGTTTTTTTTGTCTTTGACGGCAGATGACAAGTCCGGAGGTCACCTAAGTATTCAGGATTATTCTTCTGGGGCACATTAAAGTCTGTACCAAATTTTATGGCAATCTGTCCAAAAGCAAAATAATCATATAAAAGTTGCTCATCCTGAATAATGACGAAGAAACGGTTAAATTATACCAGAGAGCAGATTTTGATTTAATAAAGACAAAAACTCATTTTAAGGATTAAGGCTAAGCAGTACCCAATGTTTCAAGAGAGACCACGATCTATTTAGCAGTCTTGTCATGTGCAGCAAACTCAGAGTTTTCAAATTGATGCCGTGTGTTCCCATCTGCCTTTTCTGCCTGAAGTGGTAAATACTCTCCATCCATTGCTGTTATAATAAGGACAGCGGCTAGCGTTAATGACGGTCCCACACGGCTGGGAAAAGGGTGTTTGGGTGGAAAGGAGGGAGAAGGTGATCATGAGAGAAATTAGCCGACCAAACGCTGAGTCCAGGCAGATACTGCGCAACGGAAAACCACAAGACTACAGAAACGAGTCCCTTCTAATGCCCACGTCAATCCTCAGCGAGACTGTTTCTCATGGGAGGAAATGAAGGGAGGGGGAGAGACTTTTGGACCAACAAAATATTTTCTGATCACCCTGTGGAACAATAAGCCTTTTGTACAGGCAATGTCTGCTGGTCATACTGGAGGAGGCGTGTTGGGGTATTTGTTTTTTGTTGGCAATTAAAGGGTTAACCTCCAGAAACAGAATACACTTGCTAAAGGGTTGATGAAAGAGGGGTGAGGGGCAATCATCACATTTGTGGAGGGGACAGGCAATTATTCTGTGTCATCCAATCAATCAAATAACTGAGTGGAATCCCACGGTGCTGGGAAACTTTAAGCTTCTACACATTTCACAGCAAACTTCTTGAGGTCCTCACAAGACCGGCAGCACACAGACACAGCTGGTTCTTACTTTTCTTTGTTGGTATATTGACAGTTTATGGGGATCTCATTTCCGTGCACAACTCCTTGCTAATCCCCCCCTACTGCTGCAGTAGTAGGCTGTGTCCAATTGTTCATTCCATGGCAGGAAGACTTTACTTCACAGCTTTCCAATAAAGAAGAAGACAAATGAAGGGGCGCGTGTGTGTGTGTATATATATATATATATATATGCTGACTCTCAACATTCCACAAGTAAGATGGATGGTTAAAGTTGTTATTTCAGTAGAATTTTTATATCAATTATAGAAAAAAAAAAGTTTTGGTTGCTTTACCACTTATCTGAGATCTAAATTGATCGGTGCCTGTTTTAATCTTCTTTTAGGAAAATGTTTAGTTAAATGTAAATGTCCATTTTGTGTAGAGAATGTGTGACGGAGCTTCCCAGAAACATCTGTAATCAGGTGTAAAATGAGGCCAGTCTTTACTCACCCTCTCGCCGTGATCTCCTGCGGGACCTGGAGAACCCTGCGATCCTGAGGTACCAGGAAGACCCTGAGACCACACAAACAGAACCACATTCACTTAAGCATATTATATCCCAAAATGCTGCTGACCGGCATTCCCACCACAATCAGTCTATCCAGTACCTCATTTGCATAGGCCAACGAAGACACAAGCAAAGACATGGGTTCAGAAAGAAATAAGCCTAAGAAATCAAATATCCCCAAACCCCCCTTCTTTCTCTCTCTTGTACTCACTCACACAGAGACACACGTGTACACACATGCATGCAAAAATACACATTTTGACTGTCTCTCCCAACTTAAGCTTCACTGGCGATCAGGGCTGATGCTCTTTCCATAAAGACATTTTTTCCCTCTTTAGCTGTTCTCCATCTGTGGAAGGCAGACAGGAGTGTGGGAGAACGTGATACTCACTGCTTGGCCGGGGGCTCCTTGGGGTCCTTCTATAAGCATCCCCTGAAAAAGGAAAAAGTGGATACAGTAGCATTATAGGGCAGCCTGTCAATCCACAGGCAACGGAGAATGGTGGGGACATTAGAGCCAGAGGGTGCTTTGGGTTTGAGGTTGAGGAGTTTACTTTGCGCTGCAAACTCAACACGTTAACAATACTTTAGATATTTGAAGCTCTATATTCTATAGTGTGCGTGTGCGTGGTCAAAGATTTGGTTGGGAGCCTGTGGTGGTACAGATGGCATGGGAGTAGAGATGTTAACTGCAGCTGCTATTTCAGTCAATGTTTAGCCTATAGTGGTAAATTGTATAAGGTGGTTTCATAAAGAAGGCATTGAAAGCGGTTGTTTCTAGTCTGTGACCAAAGATGTGTGTTAAATCTCACCAGGACATACAGTATGTCTTGGTTTTAAATACTTTCGGCAAATAAACTTATTGAAACTGTAAAAAAGAATCAAACATATATATGGATGTAAACCAGATATGAAAGATATATTTAGTATCAGAATGAAAAAGTAGTTATTCTTAGTAAAATGTAATACTTCACTTACAGGTTCAATGACGGCAGGTTCACCTTTCTCTCCTTTTTCTCCGAGGTAACTTTGACCTCCGCCCACCTACAGACATAAGACAGACCAGGTGAACTTTTTACAAGGTAACAAGCCAGACATTCAAATGTAAGGGTAGACCACCAATGGCATGAAAGCCAAAAATGGAAATATTGCTGCAGCAGCAGATGCCCTGGCCTGTTTCTCCTCTTTTATAGAAGTTACTTCAAATACAGACAAAACTGCTAAGAAAAGCTCATTAAAGTGCTGACTAGTGATCTGCATGCTTCAAAGAATTTGGGTAGCTCTCAAGCCAAAAAGCACACTTTTTCTCCTTCTTTTCTCTTCCTCCTGCTGAAAAAATACATCCCAATAATTATTTTTGCAAGAAGCTATAATTTAGACTTTGGTTTGAATGCTATTTATGAAGCTTCCTTAAAGCCAGGAACTGCAAAAAGACCCCAACTGTGCATAAATGCGGAGGTCGATAACTGACACTATCCATACAATGACTTCACATGAAAAGAATTCCCAAACCACCGACAGCAGTGTGTCAAAAAAAAACACTCGATTGTACAGTTTCGCCTGAAGAGGAGACTCATTGAGAGAAAGTCACGGACTGCGTTGTCCTGAGATTGTAGAGTGGAAGGCACTAATAGAGCGGTTCAGATTAACCCAAGGCAGACATATTTCAAGCCAACATGCAGACCGGGACCATGTCACTTCCTGTCTCTGAGAATCTGGATCCTAAGCGGAGGAAGGGGGCTGGAATCAAGCCATGATAGACTCTAGCTCAGCAGAGATTTCAGACTGGTTTTGAATATTGATCTAGATGGATTTCATGAATAAACATGTGCAAAGACTTAGTTTGTCATCAGGTAATCCCAGCAGATCATTGGTGTGATTACCAGGAAAGAGCATGTCTTTGATTAACAGCTAAGGTCACGGAGGCCAAAGGTTATGGAGGGCGTGTCTGTGCTGACAGCTGGGTCGACATCTGTTTATCTGTAGGAGACTTAGATAGACAAGGTGTGTGTTTGTGCTTGCTGGTGTATTTGTGTTTGGTGCATGTGCATGCAGAATGATCCAAGCTATAACCTGATACCATTAGAAACAACAAACAAAAATACCACCGCAAAAAACACTCTGTCAAAACAAACACCACCAGCATCTTCTCAATCTTTGCACATTCTTGAACACCACCTCCGTCTTTCCCCCATCCCACCATCAGCACTCCAAACTACTCCTGCACTTACATTGCTCTCTCTGATGTCCGTCTCCGCTGGAACACCAGGACCAAACTCGTCCTCATATGTTGTAGGCTTGGCATCAGTGGGGCCGTAATCGCCATAGTCACCATATTCGTATGGCTTCTCTACGATCTCTTTGTTGTCGTATTCCTTCAGGTCGTATTCCTTAAACTCATCCACGTCAGTGGCAGGGTCCACCTTCTCATGGGGATCCACTGGGGCAGCGGTTTCCACAGCAGTGGTGGGATCCACCCCGACCTGTTCCACACCGGTGATGTAATCATCCACAATTTCCCCTTCATAGTTCTGGGATCAATCCAGGCATCGCATAAAAGGGGGCAAGGGTTGATGAGAACATGGAGGTTTGGTTAGTGAAATGAAACCATGTGAACAGCTTCAATGACTCACATGTTTTTCATAACATGATTCACAGTCAAGGCATTCATAATTAGTACTTTACTACACTGAAATTATTGAATACCAACTAAGTGAAATTCCTCTAAAGAATTTCCAACTTTAGTTGTGCCCGCATCCTTGTTTCTAATTTGGGACAGCATCTAAAACTCAAAACATTTGAAACTCCCAATATGTTTTGTCAGCAGGCACTGTTATTAACATCAACAAGAGTAGTGTTTAAGAAAAAGAAAAAAGAAAGTCATACTAGCAAGATGACGTTACGTGTAAGAATCTGTGTTTGCACTGAATCTGAGGCACTAACAGTACAGGAACAATGATACTTTTTAAAAGCTTCAGCTTTTTGATCAGTGTAACAATCAAATGCATCATTAGACATCAAATATTGAGTGTGTCTTGAGTGAGAATGTAGAGAAAATGTTCAACCTTCGCATGCAAATTTTGATTTTGTAAGCATCCTTTAGTCAACTTGCATTTGAGGACATTGACAAAACTCACTTCATGGGATCTTATCATAGTCCAACATTTCTTCGAATGAATCATTAGAGGTTAATCATTTTTTAAGAGTGCTTCCATGCTCTAAATCTCTGATCGTATTTACTACACAGTGCATTTATTTTATATCATTATCAAAATGTAACTCAAACAACTGGGCATCTAACAAAACACAATCCATGGCTAGATCTAGGTGAGACGTAAGCAGTAATACAGAGACACCCAGTGCAATGCCTCAAAAGACTGTCCCAGGTTCAGGGCTCCAGCCATCCACTAACAACACAATACTGCAACTCACTTTATATTAAAAGCATCCAACAAAAGTATGTTGTTTACTGTGTTAGGTCTATAGGCAATATGGCCCTGTGACATTGATTAAAAGTTGTCCAGTTCGTCACAGTCCTCGGTAATCAGACAAGTGTTCCAACATGGGACAGCATAGGTTTAGTATCCGGGGTAGCCCTCTGCCCTATCACTTCAAATTAATGTATGCTCAAGCTGACTGAAGCTGCGTTCTCCACCTCAAGGTGCAGCACAATGCAATAGGCAGACATTTGGCTGGCGGAGCACACAGCCGGATTGTTTTAGTTTAACCCACCAAATGTTCCTCATTATGTTGTGTTTTATGTGATGGTTTAGCACAAATTAAGACAGGATCTGCCAGATTCAGGATATGGCAGAAACATAGGGGATGCGTCTGTCTACTGATTTTCCATTGGCCATGGTTCATTAAATGACAATGTTTTCCTGCTTCGGCCTTTTATCCAGACTCTGTTTGATGGAGGCGGTTTCTCATGGAGTCAAGGAAAAGAGTGAGCAGTTTGATCTTAGCGAGGCCTTGTTGGTTTCAACCTCCAGAGACAATAATAAAATATATACTTTGCTGTTTGTGATACCCAAGCAGCTTTATTGAAATTTCATTTTAAACCAGGAATTATATAAATATGAATGTGGATTTTAATTGGATGGATGGATGATAAAAGTCAGTGACGCACAGATAATTTTCCACCGTGATGGTGGTCCAAACCTTTCTGATTTCACAAATGTCAAGATTATAATGAGGTTGTGTAAAAATACCTGGCCTTGTTCCGTGGTATCAGTTGGGGTTTCAGGCTGACTTCCATCCACTGTGGTGTAGTCATACTCACCCGTGTAGTAATCTCCACCCACATTGGTCTGCAATCAGACAAGTACAGCACACAGAAAAAAACACAACATATTTGAGATGGGTGGATTCAATTTCAGGGCATTTTCAAGAGGTTTTGTTAATGCACAAATCTATTTTGTGCACACATCTTACCACAGAATATTAAATTAAGGATGATTATCCTCAATACATTTGGGGAGCAAAACAAGTGTCACACTAGTTGTGATATATCCGAAAGGTGTGGAATATATTTAGCTACAAGTAAGGTAAAAAAGTTAAATAAGCATCAAGACATGCTGATAAAGCATGAAGTGCGGGAGAAAAACGAGAGAGAGAGGTTACGAGAGAGAATTAAAGATTGTAAATGAGAGACAACAGGTCAAGGTTGACAACAAGAGATCAAGTGCTTGTACAGTGTATATGTGTTATTAATGGTACCAGCCATGATAACTATATTAGTAAGAAGAGTTACCTCAGTCTTGGCTCCTTCAGTTGGCGGAGCATCAGTGGTTAACTCTCCTTCATTGTAGTCATAGAACTCACCATATTCATAGTTAGTGTACTGTAAGGATAAAAGGGACGGGGGCAATCAATGAATTAGTGCAATCATGTAAATAATTTAGCACAATGTCTCAGAGACATGTTGCACATTATTTACATGGCATGTAAGATTTTATCATTTTTTTAAACATCCGTTTTAAACATCCGTTTAAAAAAATGTTTTAACCATTAAATTATCAAAAAACAATGTGTCATCATGCTATTTTGAAAAATAACATGTTCAAACATAGTAAAAAAAATATCACATCCATGTCAGAAAACTGAACAATGTTGCATATGGATGACAGCAGCAATCCTTGCTTCCATTTTCACCCAAAGCCCCCTGAAATTCGCATGACGCTATGGAAAGGCTCATGTCTGTAACCAAGCAAACAGCAATTAAGATTCTTGCTTGCTTCCAACAGGATGTTAAAGGGTTAATGTGATGCCAGCATTAACGCATCTGCCTCTGCCGCTTAATTCTGTATGCCAACAATGGCTCTGCATGGCGTTTCATTAATGGGCCTTTTAAAACAGAAACCCTAAGCGGTCCTGACTCACCGCATGTCGGTAAATTATAGGGAACATACAGAATGCAGAAGCATGGCGTAAAACCACCGTTAAACCAGTCTCTGTGACAACATCATGTATTGAGAACATTTTTCTTTTGGGTCTCCAAAGCATTCCGTATTCAAATTTGAGACTGACTTCAACCACAGTGGCTTACTATAAAATATTAGTTCAACATCTGGCCGTTAATTACGAAAATGGAGCCAGGAGACAGTTAGCTTTTATATACATAAATATAAATATATATATACAGTATATATATTTATTTATTTATATATCAAATTATATTTAATTTGTTTAATACATACAAAAACTGAAAACATCAAGCAGTTTTACAGAGCTAGATGGTTCCACACTGCTTCCAGTCTTTATGCTAAGCTAGGCTAATTGTGTCCTGGTTACAGCTTCATATTAGCCAAACAGACATGTGAGTGGTATTGATCTTCTCATCAAACTCTTTGCAAGAACACTGATAAGCAGATTCCCCAAAATGTCAGACCATTCCTTTGAGTCACCAATGTTGATGAGCATTTATTGGTACACTTTCCACAACCAATAAAATAGTATGCAATGTAGTCAATGTCAAAGAAATCTCCTAATCTGCCATTTTATTTAATTTTTTTTACTAACAATGTAAAATAAAGGCAGAGGTAGATTAAGTTGACAGACCAGCGACTGATATGGGTTGCTCTGTCAGCACAGGGATTAATATTAGTCCCTGGACGACTGCTGAGCTCATAAAAATAATACAAGATCCACGGCCTGCTGCAATGTTGGTCTGGCCTCCGTTCAGTGGCCCAGAGAGAGAGAGAGAGGGGTCACACATGAGAAAAGATTTGGCTAGACAAACTAAACTGATTGAGAGGAGGGAAGGAGAGGGTCAGGGAGAAATACAGAGAAAGATAGAGAACGAAGGAAAGATTTACGATAAAGTGCTTGGCTGAGCTGAAGGCCTTCACCACAGGCTTGGATGAAAGGCGTAAATACTGAAGTGGGCTCATAAAAAAGCTCCCCCTTCCTCTTTTTGCATCACTCCCTCTTCTTCTTTTAACCCAGCTGCAGACATGTGGCTGACGACTGCAGAGGCGGTGCGCCTCAGGTCAAGGAGTGTCTTCAGAGGCTATAAGGTCAAAGCTTTTGCTCTGTGCTTTTGTAGAATTGTAGAGGTTCCGTTTAAGAACTATTGAGGGGATGATTCATAAATTTCAGACATCAACAAACACTTTTTACATTTTAAAAACTGGTGAGTTGGGAGTTTTGAAATTCTACAACAGTGATTTGTCCTCCCGGTGATATATTTTTCAGTTGTGCAGGAATTGAGTTGGAATGTAGGAAAAACATTCCTGTTATAGCTGTACAGAAACCAACAATAAATAAACCACATTAACAATGTTCCTAAAACAAAACTGCTCCCTGTTGTCTATTTAGAATTGGAATGCTCCTTGTCTTGGCGTTGAAGAGTAACTTGATGATGAAGGCTATATTTTCCAGGACACGGTACCCACTGTACAGCCAATATTTTCAAACAGAGAACCGGTTCCTCATTTTTTTTTTTTCTTGATCCAGGGATCTAAAGTCTACTTTTCCAGGTACTGGGAGTCTAGCTGGGGAAGAAAAAGCTTAAATTTCCCTGGGAGTCTGGGCAGAGCCTGCAGAACTCGTTAGTGATATAAATCACGGGGCCACTCCAAAGTGGGCTCAGACTTCATGGCAGGGGAAAAAGGATAAGTTTCCAGTGTGAGCTCATCAGTTATTTAGTGAAATAATGAAGGAATATGTCAGCCGACAAAAAGGCTCGAACCAGCAAAATAACAAAAAAAATGAAAATGAAAAGAAAGAGGAGGCTCTGACACCAAGCACTGTATTTCAATGAAGAGATGTGGCTGATAAGGTTACAAATGATGCTTTGGAGCCAATGGAAATATCATTTTAGCCGTAGAAGATGAGCTCAGACTCAACAATGTATTTTTGATAAATGTCAGCATGTTTCCACCAGTAAAACACAGACTGAAGAAAGCAATGTTAAGAGTTGACATACAAGGTCATACAAAGTCTGTCTCTGTCAAAGTACTTTTGCCTGAAGGAATGTTTGTAAAAATGATTTGAGATCCCGTCATTTGAGAAATAAAATGCACTGGCTTAAACCACGGAAAATATTATCTACTATTTGGGGACGTGATGTGTTGTGGAGTATCTCAAACTACCTCGCCAACCTTGAGTCCTTCCTTCTATTCCCCGACGCATCACGTTTCTACTTTTCTCATCCCCTAAATCACTCTATGGCGTTCTTCAGTCAGCAGCTCGCCACAAAAGTTGACAGCACGTCTCCTAGCAACAACGGCCCTCAAAATGTCAGTGAACCGTTGCCATGGGAAACAGCGAACCTGCAGGCTTAAAGCGAAGACTTTGCTTCCGTAATTATGTCGAAAGACAGTTCTGTCTTCTTTTGAAAGATAGAAGAATACGCACAACAGTTGTGATAACATTCTAGTTTTTATTTCCTCACACAAAAAGTGAGGAGAATTCAAATTTGAGTTTGACTTTAAGTCATCCCATCTTTCAAATTGATCGACTTCAACTCCATGCATCCTTACTAATTCTCAACTCCAGCTCCCATATTTTATCCCTCCGGGATTCCCTCCTTCCTTTCCTCGCTCGCTCGCTCCCTCCCTCCCTCCCTCTCCCTGCCTACTCTCTTTTCCCTCTTCCCTCCCTCTGGCTAACTACTCCTCCCACCAGATCTCTAAATCCACGTCGCCCAGTCTCCCCCTCTCCCCCTCTCCAGATACTGACCTCGCCCTCAGGTTGCTGAGCCTGGGGGGTGTCGTGGTGGTTGGGGGTTTCACAGTCAGGGCTGTAGTGTTCACAGTAATCATGGGCTGCTCTGGGGTCTGCCACTATCAGCAGCTGCTGGATGTCACCCTGGAAGAGAAGAAGAAGAAAAGTAGCACGAAGCCATGTCAACAAATTTCACAGGCCCAAATGTAAATTCCATGTCAGAGTTTTCCTTTATCCTCCGTGTTTCTAAACTTTCTACTATAGGCTTATGTATAGTGCCTCTGACTGGCTTCTCCTCAACAGCAACAGTGCTGTTGAAGAGAAGCCAGTCAGAGGCACGAAAAAGAGCCAATTCGGAACCATTTGTCATTGCAATTGGGAAAGAAACTAGGCACAGTAGTTGCTGACTGGATTTGATCCAAACTTGATCTAGAATCCAAAAGTGAATGGATTGACACTGTTTTTAAGAATGGCAGTCTTTAGTGTCACACTAGCGGCACACTAACGTAACAGAATTTTAAACTCTGTGATGTGATTGCAGTTGATATATACGAGATTTGAATTTACTGCTCTACTTAAACGTTGTAAAAGGGTTTGGCTTTTGACTTTTTGATCAAAGAAACATATTTTCTGACATGGTTGCTAATCTTTTACACTGAAAATTCAACTTGAATTTCATGCCCATCCAAGCCTTGGAAGTGCTGCAACTGCTAATCAGCTAACATCGTATGTGCAGAAAATGAACGTGACTTTCCTATGGCCTGACACCCAAAAATAACTCAATATCTTTTCTTTCATGATTACAAATACAAACCAAGTGTCAATGTCCATAAAGTATACACCTATTACTCCTTGCTTGATTGCCTCAACTTTGCACCAATGTGGCGATAATAAAATGTGGCAAAACAACAAGGCAGATGCTGTGCAGTACCAGAGGAAGTGGTGTCTTGACTATTAATTACATATTACTTTATGGAAGAAATCAAGGCTGTAAAGGGAGTCTGTAAGCATTTAAAAAAGAACTATTGTACAGTCCCCCCACTCAGCCAATAGGGATGGCAAGTCCCCTTACACAGCAGATAAATAACCAAGGTCTGTACTTATCTGAGGCTGTCTGTTTTTCATGAGCTTTTGGAAAAGGAAATTAGATCCCCTTCCATCAGCCAAAGGCTCTTTTTCCATGATCGTCTCCTAAGGAATTTCTGAAACCAGGAACTGCTATGCCACGGATGTGGAGAATGTTATCTATACCCATCAACCATATGGGTAACTAAAGCTGGCCTTTTTCAGAATTCAACCGGAGTTTGGGGACCAAAACAACAGGGAAAATAACCTAAGTGCCGTGATAAAGGTGAAAGAACGGTGCTGTCAGGGTGGCCCTTAAAGAGAAAGCACATGCATGCAGATTGCATTAAATTACAGAAGGATACATCTGTACAAGCTTAGACCTCTGGAACACATTAGATATACACCGCCACGTCCTCGCATCATACATGATCAGTAAACCCTAAACAGGGTATTGAACAACACAAACAACAACCAAAAGATACACACAAGTTTAAATTCTACACTTGGTCGAATGCCTACTGTTGCCTACTGTTGTCACCTGTTGTGCCATTAATGCTTATGTTGGGTTATCATTCATTTGAGGATCCTAATTATGGGAAAACACATTATAATACATAATTAAGGGCATAGAATGGCTACAGTTTACAGGATCTTGGAGTACAATGTAGCTTTTACTCACATTAGGGAAGAAAAGATTAATACAAAGTGACAAAAGAAGGACACAGTTGTTTCAAACAGTCACACACAATCTCAACATTTCAACCATGGTGTGTATCAGATGTGTAGCTGGGAAGCTGTCAAGAAGAACTGTAATTGTAAAAATGCTAAATTTTCTAAAAGCAAACAGAAGAACCGTACATTGAATTTAAATGGTCCCTTCCACTACTCCACATACACAGCACCTAGCACCTAGAATAACAGGCAGCAGTGGCCTAAAGCAAACAAATGTGACCAAAGATCGTTAGTTTGATTCCCAGAGAGCAGAATAAATCAGCTCCCCCCCTCCCATGAGCAAGGTATTCAATGTCCAGATGTGGCCAATGGATTAAACTGATGTTGTACTAAGTAGCTTCCAGGTGTGAATGTGTGCAACTGAGTGTGGAGCAGGGCATTTCTGCTAAAAAGGAGAATTTGTGCTTTATGAACCCACGCTCAGGGAAAAAAAGGGGAACATAACCTGCTCACAAGAGTTCAGCCTGCACCTTCTGAACCTCTATAACGCAGCTGCAAAGTCGCAAATTTACAATAGTCATTCAGCCACTACACACTGAATGTTATAATTTAACACAAATGGATACAAAGTCAGAGCCAGAAACAGAGAGAAAAGTTAAAAAACATAGATGCATTGCATTTGGCGATATCTCTGCCCACCTCCTCCTGTCTATGTCTTCCTGAGTGCAGCTTGTTATGTTCATTCGGTCTCACTTATTGCTTTGTGTATATTTACTAAGATACAGGTACATGACATGAACTACAACAGGAAAACAAACATGTGGTGAAAATCTGCAGAGGAGTCCAAAACATCATGCGGGGCTTGTCAAGAGACCACACACACTTGGCCCATTTAAAAAGCAATCACTCCCATACTCCACGACCGGCTTCGCCCTCACTGTTCCCCCCCTCTCTCCTTTCACCCTCAGTGTCTCCTTTCTCTGCATCTTGGTGCTTTTGTTGATGTTACTGTCTAGATTGCCTTGCACATCTCTCTAGCATCTGTTGAGGTTCCTCCTAAGAATCCCAGGAATGATCTACAGTAATGCCCTGGCTCAGAGCTCAGAGCTGGCACAGACACAGTGGGATAAATCATCAGTCTAGGCTACACTACAGTCAATCTATTAATGGGTCTGCGTACAATGTGCACGTGGGCGTAAAATACAACACGCCTGGACACATGTTAACCTTCACTGCGCACTGTAACAACAGCCATGCGACGGGGAAAAGTACATAAAAGGACCAAGGATGAGCCTGACTGACCAAAGTCAAGAGAAGAGACTTGAATCATCCATCTACATTTCACCCATAGGCATGTTAAGCGATGAAATGTAAAACAGCGAACCACTTGATTCTCCCTGGAGTAGGTGATCTTATGATGAGTATCCCTCACAACACACCGCCTACACCTACCAGGAACAAAAGTCACTTAAGGAAAACAACCGGCTGATTGTGGGCGGTATTAAAAGCCCTCGGCCCACCATGAAATCTGTCCTCGTTCTTAATAGGACATCAAGTACGAGCTTCTGGATGCCACTCAAAAGGATAGAGGTGTGGGGGGGGATTGTAATCAAGTGAGTATTTTACGTCTGGTCTCATCCATGAGCATAAATCACATGACCGACCTCAAAAACCATTTGATTAGATGAAGATAGCTCCCGCTGGCGCCGGATCAGAGATGATGACAGGCACAGGGGTTTTCCCATCTTGCATTTGTTGAGACTAATTTAAAGGCATAAACAAAGATGTAGTTTGTATTTGACTCCACAAAATTGAGACCATACTTGAATTAAAGACTGTATCAACATTAGAGTGTTAATGTCTGGAGGGATAGCGACCTTCAGACTGGGGCTGGTAAAACCTAAAACCACCCACGCTCCTGGTGTCACGATATACAGCACACTTACATGGCACCAGGATATTAGCTGGGCTTCAAAGGGTTACTGTATGGGCTCTCAACATGAATGAAGGAATGAAAGGTCAGTCCTCACTACTGCAACTTTGTTTGAGATTTAAGATGACATTACAGATGTATATTTACATCTTACTTTTCCAGAAGTAATGTCCCAACTACGGCCTTTTACTGGAACTATTTTCTGCCAGAGAACCTTTACGGGTGTCACTGTAACCGGCCTGTCACACTGAACCATCATCACCAGTTCAGAGATCATGCAGAATACAGCTGCTCTAATGAACTTTCAGATGTTTCTGTTTTTAAAATGCAAATCGTGCAACTGCAGTAGCTTTTTGTAGCCTTAACTTACTTCTGTATTTTCTTTACTTTATCATCTAAAAAGCCTGCTTTTCCAGACTCTGGGAGGGGAGCAGATCTCGAAAGAACAAATAGACAGATGGAATTTCAACGCTGTACAAGGACAACAATTAACAAAGAACAGAGAAGAGGAAAACCGTATAATATTCTCCTAATCCTTCCCAGCTTTTTATTAAATGCAGCCTTTGTGGTCAGCGAAAGGATAAAGTTTCTTTTCAAGCACTGGAGGCATACAAACGTCCTGCAGCCTTCAAATATTAAAACATTTCATCTGCCAGTAGCTCACATAACTGTTGAACAGTTTGAACCATCTGCTTGCTTGTCTGCCTGCCCTTACTTCACTTCTCTCTCTCTCTAGTTCCTTTCTCCTCAATCTGCTACTTTCCATCAGCAAATGCATTTAAGAAGCACCTTGGGTCCAATACTTCATGGCTGTTCTGGGACCAGTTAGTGATGGTTAAAAACAAGGGACATGGAGGTCAGATACAGGCACACTTTGACAAAGACACTTCATAGACTTCTGTTTCTTCATATTAAACACATGTTGAAAATATCAGAGACTGATGACCCTCTCAGTAACAGCGACACTCATACAAATATGAATCAGTCACTGTATTCTATTATAAAAACCCTAACCAAAACATTTTGTGACAAGTACTGGAGGGTGATGAGTGACAGAGTCAGATGAGAACCAGACAGACTGTTTCTCCTCCTGCCAAGTCAACCATAAACAACGATTCACTGTAAGGCTTGGAGCCCATCAGAGCCCTTCGCCAAAGACTGTCCTGATTGAGGGACAGCGTTCTGGAACAATCTACTGTGCAGAAATGAGAGACACATAAACAAACTATCTTTGCCTCGTCACAGATACACACACACACACACACATTTGTATGCATGCATGCACATATGAAACAACGCACGTGTAAACACACTGACAGAAGGCACAACAACAAAAATGATCCAGTCCTATCCTTTAAAGTTTGAAGAGTGGATTTACATAAAAATGAGAGCTGATTCAAATACCGTGTGGCGTTTATTTAAAAGAGAGAAAAGCAGAAAGGGGGGAAAAAGGCATTTGGAGTCCTGGTCAGTGAAAATATCTTTTAAACAGCTGTGCAATCTGAGCCAAGACTCAGCACACACTGATCATATTTTCCCCAAGCCTTCACTCTGCCTTGTGCTTCCAACTTTGACACCTGCTTATGCAATCTACTGCAGTAAGGTAGCCATGTGCTCACAGCTCGAAGCAGTTTTACTGAGAAAGCTCCCAGCCAACCTCCGTAATTAAACTGAAGAATAGCTCCAAAGTTGGGAAGCTCAGGTTTAATATGCTAAACGCCACAATTTCTTAACTTATTTTTTCATAACTATGAATGCCAAATTCTTCAGTTTAAGAGATGGAAGAGAAGCTGCAGCAAAGGTTTGACTTTTGTTTGATCCATTTAGGTACAGACCTCGATATGGGTATGTTTATATATATAACAGAGATACCTTTGATGCTTTGGTTAGGGTTGGAAATGGTCAGGGTTAGCTACGGTTATTTTTCAAGGAATGGAATTCTATCTTTGTCTACAGCTACAGTGGGATTCATAAGAACATGTCAGGAGATTATGAAACACATTACCGTTCAAAAACACACAAAGAGAAACCTCTGAAGCTCACTAACATGTTGTATCGCGTTATCAGAGCCGGCTCTCACAAATTTGGTGCCCAAGGCAAGATTTGAACTGTAGCCCCTCTGAATCGCATTCCAATTCTACCACCAATCATTGTGTTCACACACTCACACAGAAATGTTTCGCTTTATGTCTTTGGGGAATAACCTAAAATAAAATAAAGTGTGATCAGCATTGCTTAATCTCACCTTTCCAACTTTCCCTAATGAATTCAAGGTGGGAGTAACACACGTTATGCTATGTAGTTATGTTACTGTGAGCTTTTTGGTAACATTTTGAAATTTTTCTATTAAAATAGTATTATTTATTCAAAGAATTTAAAGTTATAATTTCTTCTCTCATTTGGGCCGAAAGTAATCTGATTGTAGTAGTAGACCGTGGCTCACTGGCTTAAGGGTTGTCTGGTAACCGCAGGGTCAATGGTTCGATCCTCGACTGGGACGTGCCACGTGTCGAAGTGTCCCTGAGCAAGACACTGCTCCCCGGGCGCCTATCATTGGCAGCCCACCCATCCCTTTATACAGGGATGGGTCAAATGCAGAGGGTCAAATTTTGTGTATATGTATATGACAATAAAAAAGGGTTTCATAACAGTTGTAGAATGGATGCCAAAGTATAATCCAAGCAACAAATCCGACTCAAACACATGGCTTACATCTACTTTACAAACTTTTATCTAGAGGAGAAAACCCAGGCCAGTATGATTTTTTTGCCATTATCGGTGCAGTGTGTCTACAAGTAGCCAGTTTGCAATCAGCAAATCTAGGGTTATCAAACTTGAAGTGGAAATAATTACAGTTTAAGATATGGCTGCATTTCTAACCACAACATTGCTATTGTGTGATACACTAATTAAAACCACCTTGGAACAAGCAAAAAAAAGCTAAACCCTTGGAATAAAAATAATAATTTCCTCTTCTCCAGGTTTTAAAAAAGGAAAAAAAAACAAATTACTCTGTAATTCAACACCATTTAATGTAATATATGTTCAAACAAAGAGCACTCACAAAAGTCAAGTGGTTGGTCTTAAATCAGCATTAAAAATAGAAAAGGCTTGGTGAAAGTGCTAGGCTACTTTCATACTCTCCACCTAACTCTCAATTACCTTAATTACAACCCCAACTCTAATCCCTGTGGCTTTCTGGCTTTCTTGGGTTCTAATTTCCTATGGTTGTGCTCATTGTACTTTAATACAAAAGAAAATGGCAAATGTACAAAAATCTTGCTGTAAATTGTATCGACTCTTCTTATAGTGGCATAAACTTGTCTGTACGTTGAACCTCTATATCTAGCGATGGGAGCTGCTTGCCAAAACGCTATCACTGGAAAAGGGTGGACTCCAAGTGGCTCCTCTGTGGAAAGTCCTGTTTGACCTGGAGGCAAACATTTTGCAAGCTGTTCTACTTAGCAAGCATTCTACATGCAGACATCAAAGAGAGGCTATTGTCTTTGAGCTAGCATTCAGCTCACATTTCCCACTCAACTCAGAGCTACCTGTGCAAAACCTGGTAGCTAGGACCTCCATTTAACAATCACCACCTCAGTAACCATACACTCATTCTGATTGTGCGCACAGTTATTGTGGGAATAATATAAAATCCTCACACAAATAGTGGCAAAATACATGCAACTCAAATAACACACCGTCATATATGAACAACTGAAGCCTATTAGACTTTTTTTTATTAAGTAAACTATTCAAACAAATCCAAACCAGTATTAAGAGAAAAAAAGCCCTTTGGACAACACAGTGTGCAAGTAGCCTTTCCACAGACATTGCCCGCCATGACTCTTGCAAAGTATACAAAGCCAATATTGTTGTTCTGGCCAATAAAATTCACCATTTACTGAATGAACAAGTAAATGAAAGACACATAAAAATGTCTGGCCTTAAAGTATTGTACTTAAAGTATAAGACACTCAATAGCCCCTTTTCACAATGGTAAATGACGCTCATTGAGAGTAAGATTCACAATATGCTTTCAATTACATTCATACCCAACCAGAATGGAGAAATCGCTGGCTTCTTGGAAAGCTTTCCAAACTCCCTCAAAACATAATCCCTTCAATGTAGTGGTGAATATCTGCATTATATTCCAGAAAGACACTCCTGTGGAGATGATGGAGACATCTTGAAGCAGACTATTGGTGAACTGTGTTGTATCTGTCAAAGACAGGAAGAACTACGCAAGATAATAATAAAGATAATGTAGCAATTGACAGTAATTAATGAATGAATTCATTCTTAAGACCTGTGCACTGACACAACCAAGGGAAGCATTCAAGGAATATGGGAAGCATACGTATTCACTTTCTCTCATACTATGTGTGCATTAGGTTATGGAACTGGAGCAAGAAGGCGATTAGCTTGGGTTAGCATAAAGACTGGGCTGGCATGACTCTCTCTCAAAGTTCAAAAATATTCCTGCAAACACATCTTAATTATCATGTTGCATCTGTTATGTTTTATCTATGTACAAACACCAATGTAAAAATGACAGGTTCAGGTTTTACAGTCAATGTCTTAATGGCCACAGCCAGGCAGGCACTAGCTGTTTCCCCCCAACTTCCAGTCGCTATGCTAACCCAAACTAATCTAAAGCGTTATACTTAAAACACAAACATGAGCGTGGCATCCATCTTCTCACCTAACTCATGTCAAAAGAGCAAATAAGTGCATTTCAAACCATTCGTTTAAACACATTCAAACCATAGTCGTCACAACACCGCTAGCTTAATCTGGGTGAATTAGGGATTCAATATGGCCGCCCTACCTCAAAGACTTCTTCATCCAGAATTCTGGTGCCAAAGACAGTAATGCCTTCTGTGTTGATGACGGCCTGGTTGCTTCTGCCGAGGGGCCTGGTCAGCTTCTTCTTACAGTCCACGATGATGGTGACACTTTTCTTTTCCACGCTGATAGCTACACGATGCCATCTGTGCAGCAGGGGAGAAAGTAGGTCAGAAATACAGCCAGAAATGTGACATTTAGGGAGCACATTTTTTGCAGAGTTAGGCGAAATGATCCTAACCACTCTTGATATTTGTGTGCTAAATATTAACTACAGCCACATTAGCCTAGCTTGGTCCAACATAAAGACTGAAAACAGCTAGCCAAGCTTTGTCTGGAAGTTACACAATCTGCATACCAATGGCTCTAAAGCGCAGAAATTAACACAATATACACCTTGTGTAAAAACTATAATTTTTTCCTTATTTTACATTTTTTTTAGACAGTCATGTCAGCAGTTTTCCTCTGCTTCCAACTGCTTTTTTTGTTTTCCAACATGTCCGACTATTCCTTTGAATGTTTACAGGTTCCTTTGAGTACACAGGGAAATATGCAGTATTTCGATTTGGTGATACAGTATGTCAGAGAGAATCATAAAAGTCTTTGCAAACCCAATGAATTGAAAAATATATCTCATCAGTGCTTATGCCTGGGCTTGTTAATAAATAGATAGGCAGCTTCGTTAGCATAAAAAGGGTCAAAATGAATGAACTTCACATGACAGCAAGCTACATATATGTCCTATATCAAAATTGTAAATGATTTTGTTTATTTAAACTGCAATGTTTTTTTCTGATACAATCAGACAGACAGCCACGCATGGAATCGTTTGTTAGCAGTTGTGCAAATGACTAACTTTAAAAGTGGTTTGTATCAGCGTCATTGGGCAGCCATGCATTATATGTGAAGATCCTGCCAATTACTGAATATCAGTATACAAAGGCTGCAAATAATCTGGAAAAGAAAAGCGTGTCATCAAATTACTGCAAGCAGTTTATTTGCCATTACTGTCTGACTCCATATGGCATTAATAACTGAGCAAATATAAGATGCCAATAGATCAGAGCTGTTTAGCAGGCTAGGAGAGTTAACTATGTTCTGAGTGCTTGAGAAAATATTTTAAGCAGATTGGTTTTGTTTAGCATAAAATATAACCTATACATTTTGATAAAGTGCTCAAGATGAGCATCAAATTGGGATGCTTTGCTCTTTAGCCAATCACACAAGCTTTCACAAGAATTTGATGTTTTACATTCAACACTGAAAATGGGACACAGACAAGCAAAAAATCCAGGGGACCAAATAAATCTACCACCCACATCTGACCCAACATGTTCAAGCCCTCTTGAGAAGCCGTCAGTCACTTACTTGCCGTCAGCAAGGTTGATGGAGCGGAACAGGGGGTACTCCTCCGGGGCAGGCTTGCCATGCTGGTCCTCATACAGGAAGACTGGGGCACGGCCCACCTCCACACCGAGCTGCTGGATACCTTGCTGGTTGTACACGGACAGCAGGAAGGACTGGAGGCCAGCCTTTGGCTTGATGGTAAACAGGATCGAGAAATCTTCTGGGAAAACTCCTCCTGAAGGTTGAACAAGCAGCAGGCATGTAGGTTGGTAGGTTAAAGACCAACGGATACTTAGTTACAAAATCTGGGTAACTGAACATTTTTACCAGCATTGCTCTGCTTCAGATACATATAGTGACACATATGGGAACTTCCCAGTTTAACCTCACCACAGCATTTTTAATTAATTTCAATAGCTCTTGTGGGGATGTTGGGTCTGGAGTGTTTACTAAATTTCTGAGGATGTTGCAGAGGTTTTACCACCTAACTTCCTTCTTCCAGGTTGAAAAATACTGATGTTACCCTTTGAAAGAATAGTTAGACATTTAGGGTACAATACATCTTCTTGATGACATAAGTTGGGAAGATGATACCACTCTTTTTCAGTGTACAATAAATACGAAGCTAGAAATGGACCTTATGTCCTTTCCTCATCTGTCTTCTACTGATGTTATTACAAAGGCAATTGTATTGTAATGACACAATTGAATAATGACAAGTTTATTAGCTCTCTGACTTTCTCTCCTCACATTAAACCCCAATGTCTAGACAACTAGACCTGGAGCAGTGTTTATTAAGGAAGCTGAAAGAGACCTTGGCATCCCCTGAAAGTACTCAAGAGTGCTGATGTAGCCATAATAATTTTACAAGGGTAGTAAACACCCAAACAAATGCCATATTTGTATAACCATAGTGGCTGGGTTCAATGAGAAAATAACTAACCCTGATCAAATAAAAGTAAAATTATTCTGACTGAGGACATTCTGACACTTTGCTTCCATAGGATCTCCAACGAGTCACCTTTCAAGCTTAATTATAGTCTTCAAATTTCCATTGCTGAAAGCGTAAAATGTGCTGTCAGTTAATGCCAAAAATCACAGAAGTGTAGTTAATACCTCACATTATTTTGAACAGTTTTTTTATTCTGCAACATCAAGCCAAGCTAAAATAAAACACAAACGGCACAGATTGGGATTTATTCAACAGCACTCACAAATACTTTCTAAACACCTTCTATCCAAGTTAGTTTTGACTAAGTAATAACTGGGGGCTCTTTCTACACTTTCCCAAGTAATAAAAACAAAAAGCAGGCCTCCAATGGCTGTGAATTTTATTGTTGTATTATATTGTGTGGTATTCATGCCTAAATGCAGCAAGTTTCATATTTCAGCAGCAAAAAAGCAACTGGAAGTATTGAAAATTGACAAATAGATAATTTACATCTGTCACCAGCTCATTGGTTTTCTACAGCCATCAGTAATGACACAAGTCTTGTGTTCATTATTCAATTTATGAGTAGCAATGAGTGTAAGAAAGTAGCAAACCAATGGTTACACAGTCAAATGGCTTTTTGATTCTCTGAGTGGACTCCTTCCTAATAAAATAAATATGGCTTTATTTCCCACAAACAGCCGGGCAGCAGACTTTCAGTGAGTCTGAAGCCAAAACACAGCCTACTGAAGTCTGTCAGCAATCAAACTAAAGGACAGATACTTTATCGACAAGATGAGTCCACAAAAAATATTCATCTCATTAAGTTGCTGTAATACATTTTGGGTTTTGGTTCCCCAAAATATCCAATAACAAAAATGTGGTGTTGCTCCTCATACTTAACTCATATATTTACATGACATTTCATACACCATGTGCTGAGTGACTCTCATCCCCTTTGGGCTCTTGGATTCTTACTGAAACATCAATGCATTCAACTCATCTTCCAGAAAATGATTGCTCAAAGTCTGCACTGCATTTTAGAAGGCAGGTGTCGAGGGGTTTCATTTGGAATACGGTTGGACATATGTTGAAAATGTTTCTGTTTTGCCATTAAGTAGTTCAAGACAGTAAACAAAAACATCTGTTTCACTTTCTTCCAAAACAATTATTTGTTTGAGTTGGCATAAAATGTCTAGCTCTAGGGACGGCAGTGTCATTTGTTCGTTCCACAACTTTGGTCTTGACTGATATATCTACACTGCTCAAAATATCAATTTGTCTGACACTTTAAAGGATTACAATTCCAGTAAAAATGACATTCCCATCATCACCAGTGGTGCTTTGTGTTTAGTTTTGTTTAGTGCTAATTAACTAATGATAGCATGCTAAAATGCTCATCATCATTGGGAGCATGTTAGCATGCCAATGTTGGCATTTAGCTTAAAGCACCGCTGTGCATAAGCAAAGCCTCACAGGGAAGCTAGCATGGCTGCATACTTAGTCCCTGTTAAAAAGGCTGGATAGCTTGTTTTACACTGAGATAGTGCAAGTGTTCCTGTGTCAAAGCTGCTTGTGCAAGGTTTTATGCAAAAACATACCCATACGCATCACAAAATATGTGATTGTGATGTGTATTTTGCTGACCCCTGAACCGTGGGGAAGTTATCCTCCAGATCCTCAAATGCTGCTTACAGTTTACATCTTAACTAATTACTGAATTGTATTTTTTTGGGGAGATCCATTATCTTTTGTCCAGAGCAACCAGGCATAGTTGACTGGTTCAGCATCAGTGTATAAATGCACATAATCGGTGGGAGGTAAAGAGTGAGGTTACCTGGGAAGAGCTGTTTGGTTGGAGCGCTGATCTGAGCCTGTTTTCCCACTCTGTAAGCGATGTCGGGTTTGGATCCTCTCCGGACTTTGCAGAAGCCTGTTGTTTTCTGTACTCCTTCAGGAGAGCTCTGGAAGTCCAGAGCCTTCAGTACATCTACTTGTTCAACTGAGGAGGCAAAACAAAGAATTGATAGCATTACCCAATTATACTTTGTCAGCAAACATTTCATAACATTTGCATAGCAATACACTATTTGGGGTAATACATTTGTCCACTTTGTATTTTTGTATGTATGTAAGTGTACATTGTTTGAAAAGTGTGATATAATGATGCATTCGTGTGAAGTTGTTTAGATTGTAAAATATGACTTTCCTGAACATAAATCAGCTTGTAAATATGTTTTTTCACACAGGCTGAGTGCATCATGAACGCAGAAAAAAACATTTAACTGACTGCTAGAGGCTCACTCACTGCATATACTGCAACATTATTAGCTAAACTAATTTAATTTAATAGAAATCTACTATAACGCATTACAAGTGTACATGTTGTAAAAGCTGCCTGTGATTTTACAGCACACTGTTTTTCAACAGTTAATAGTAAAACCTAATAGAGCTGGTATTGCGATGATAAATCAACCTTTACACCCATTTCACCTCTTGCTTGTCGGCCAAATATGTTTCTTCCACCAGTTGTTTGTTTATAAGCTACCTTGTCAATGGAGCAGTAAAAATGTTGGTAACCGTTCAGAAGACATAATTGCGCCCCCTCCCCCCCTCTTCTCCTCCACTGTTACTCCCACAGCCAAAAGCCACAGCATCTATGGAATGATAAGACTCATTGCTGCTGATCACTGGGTCCTTGGAATAAGGGGAGCGCAGAGGGGGGCAGCTTTACAAGCTTCTTAATACTACTAGACTGTTTCCTATCAATGGACCAGGTGCTTAGGGGTCAGACTACTGTGCAGTGCAGTCATAAACACTGTTCAGTAATTGTCTAACTCATTACTCTGTTTCTCTCTCTGTCCCATTCTGTAAATGTTTTTCTCTCCCATCCCCCGAGGCATGTCATCAGTTACAGTTTTGACTATGGGGAATTTAAGAGGCCTAATAAGGTATTTTTCAAGGCTAGTGTATAAACAGGAGTGGTGACGTACAGCACAACGTCATTCCTGATTTAAGGCGCGTCTGACTGAGGTTGAGTGAATTTAAAAGTTTACAGAAAGAGGAGGCTATTAATGCAAGGTTTGAATTAGATTAAATTAAATTAAATTGTTTCAATCTGTCTTTTTTGTGACTGTGACATTGTAGCTCTAACAGTAATTTTTAACTTGTCTGTACTTGTCAACTTAAGAGATCCATACACTCTAAAATACATACAGTACATGCATACAGTATTGCAATATAGCATCGATCTCCATGAATACAGTGGAAGTGATGTGGTTATTATGGGCCAACCAAAACTGGATTTTTGAGACACATATAGAAAATTGCGAGAAAACAAAGAAGTTTTTTTTTTTTTTTTTTACATATAAATGAAAGAAATCTTGATACAAATCCTACCAACCATAATCTCATATCACTTCAGGGCTGTGTATTGGCAAGCACCTCACGATACGATGCGTATCGCGGAACCCGTGTCACAATATGATATATTGCGATACGTTACATATTGCAATAAATTCATGAAAATGTAAAAGTAGAGCTGAAAATACAACTTGCTGTATACCACCTCAATAGTCTAATACTTGCATCACATTTTGAGGACTCAGCAGACAAATTGCATTAAAACTACTTCAAAAGGTATTTGTATTGCTCATAGTTAGTGAACACACAAAACTGAAAGGCACTTGCCGTAAAAAAAGTATATGAAAATAAAGTGCATATTGTATTCTCATTCTGTCACTGGACACTTTTTTACTAAAATGCACAACTTCATTTGAAAATGAAATACATACTGTATTCTTTTCTTATTGTGTCACCGACCACTCTTAACTTACATGTAGACGCCACGTCATATGAAATGAAGTGCATTAAGTAAATTTGTCAGTTACTTGGCTACAGTTGGCTGGGTCTTTCCCATTCATGTCGCATTCCTCCAGGTTTAGTTTTCAAAAACTCCGCGATATTACTGCCTGTGCGGCTCTCGTGCTGTGTTGTCGGGATGTGGTGTGAGGTATTCGTAACATACGACTCGGTGGTCTAGTCGTCTATCATCGCACGTCAGGGCTACTCTCTCCTCCCTCTCTCTCTCTCTCTCTCTCTCTGCAGGCCGCTTGCTTGTGAGACGCCATGTTGTGATTTTGGCCGGGTCATGTGACATGTCGGGGAGGTCACTGGCCTTAGGTTAGAAGGCAATAAGCAGCGACATCTAGCGTTACAAGAGCGGAGGAGGCGGTTGTTTGACACACAAAATCTTTTTAATATATCGATAAACTATCGTTAAAGAAATTATCGCGAGAGTAATCTATAATCGATATTTTTGCACACACTTAATTTAAATAAGCAGTCATGGATAAAACTATGATGTCTGACTTCATATTCATGTTGCTAAGGGGTCTCTGAATTAAAGTTGGTGTTTTAAGTCCTGATAATATATTGGCATCAAGCACTTTCTTACCATATCTATTGTAACATTTGCTACCTTGTAGTTTAGTGAGGTTCACCGCATGTAATAACATCTCTGTGTTGTTGTACTGTTAGTATACCAAAATAAAGACAAAGACTTTAAGACCGCACATCAATACTGCATTATTGGCCCTGATGGAAAATTTCATCTACAAACTAGCCGGAATTATTTTGTTTTACCAAACTAAAAAGGGAATGTTAGAAAGATAACAGAGGAACAATGACGATAAAAAATGACCAACAGTTAAATTCCCACTCCAAACCAAACTTTGTGCAACACAAGTATTAAATACAATTTGTTTTAATTTTACCCAAGACACATCTGCAAAAACCAGCACACACACACCAGTCATGTTTCTTTTCAGTGAGTCAAGAGGCAGGATGTGTCCTCTTCAAAAGGCCCAGCAATGATAAACAATGTCTGAATGGTCAGCTCAAAAATCTCACTGGGAAGATAAGGCCTTTAAGGAATGGCAGATAACAGGCTTAATGTGGAATATCCCTTCCTTAAAAAAAATGTGAGATGCATGTGTTTGATATTGGCTTGAGAGCATTGTGGGAAATTAATTTAAAGGGATCAGACAAAAGACTTTCTTGAAATTCACATTGGAGGAAATCTCCTCATCTGTCTTCTAATACTCCATAAAACTGGATGAAGCAGAAAGAATGTTTGGTCAAGAGACATAAATAAAAAAAAAAGACTGGTGGTGGGAATATTATCTAAAGGACTATAATGTAAGAGAACAGTGCGTTATAGCCCCCCCCCCCCCCCCCCCCATCACTTGGAAGAACATACGTTCTTTCTTTTCTTTTCATGCAAAATGTAGACTCTAAACTGGGTTAGTCTATACTTTTAACATTGATTCTATAGTACCTCCTAATTAAATAGTCAAACATCAATCAAAAGTAAAAGCTAAACGAATTTTATTATATATTATTATTTCCATTTTCCATTTGTGTAAGTCATGTGGCATGTGAAGCCAGGATGTACTGATTATGCAGTTCCTGTTCGCTTTTAGGGACCGGGAGGGGGTCTGATGGGTGGAGCTATAAGTCCACATGTTGAACCCATTATGGTACTGGCTCCACTGCCTTTACCCCCCCAACTAAAACATACATGAGACTAAACGGAGAAGGCCCCATCCTTGTAGCTACTTCTCCTGTGACCAGAAAAATAACAGCTTGAGTGGTGAATCAAACTTGCTTGATTCGAGCATATGCTCAAGGATGGTGTCTCGAGTTTTAGCTCATTTGAAGTTGCGCAGATCTGCTCTTTAAGTGAATTTAAATAGTTAAGAGTATAAGCATCAGTAAAGCTGCACTGCTGAGGAATCAAGCAAATCAGAATGCCTTTTCTTTTGGTTTCGAACAAATTCAGTCCCACAGTAACTTTTATCAACTGAGAGAGAGAGATGGATTAAAATAGGCTTTATGACTGACACTACACACAGAGCAAGTTAACAGACACAGGGTTTGTTTTATCCTAAGAAGAACACCAGACTGACTTCTGACTTGGACAGAGACAAAATAAAATATGGGTTACCAAACACCAAGTTTAAAACCTCACACCAAATGCCTCATGAAAAAGAAAATAGTCTGTGGCTCTTCTGAATATTGTCCCAAGTACAGAGCTACTGGTTCTTGAAAAAAAAGAAAGCTTGGACTAAAGGTCTCTTTGTGAGTTTTAGAATGCCTTTCTGCATTACTGCATACCTCAAGGCCTCATATATTCCAGATGTGCTGAATCGGCCAGGAACCCCCGCCCCCCACCCCACACACACACACACACACCATCCCGCACCCCTGACTCTTCATCCCCTCTCCTTCCACAACCATCGTTTCATAGAAGTCCTGAAAAACAGGCAATATCCCAAAACCATTGAATACCCCAAATGAATAAGCATAGCTTTTTAAACGCTTTTGAGCATTGTAGGAGCCAGCATGCAATATACTCAGCACATCCTGAGAAAAGGCACAAACCCTTAAAGAGGAATAAACCATATTCTAATGATAAGGACGAAAACCACAAGAGAGAGGAGATAGTTCTCTCATGCTAAAGGTATTAAAGCAGCCTCAGACTAGCCACAGTCTTGTCTGAGGGGTAATCGCCAGTCTCAGATTTTTAATGACATCTTCCTGATTGCTGTCTGGGACTTTTGATATACTATCTGCCATGTTAACAAGCTACTAACAAGACAAAGAAGTGTGATTTCCCTTGAGGCAGCGAGGCATGTAATGACAGGAGAACCCTGTTAAAATCATTAAAGCAATTTCACCAGCAGACCCTCACACATTAAAAAATACCATTTTCAGCTGTATAGTCTGAATTTCCAGCACTCTTCATCTCATAACTCATCAGAGCCATACAGTTTGATGTTTAAGGTTAGACTTGTGATTAACTTCTCAATCCGTGGCATTCTGACTTAGTGTCTCTGCGGTCGTGCAGCAGCATCTTCGGGATGTCTTGTCGGCCTTTTTTGTGTCACTGGCTTCTGCTGAGAGTTGGCAGCAATAGGCAGCAATTAAAGTAGATTGGAAAGCCTGTAAATGTTTGCTAGCACATCATGGAATTATGGTTAGTTTAAATATCAGTCAGAGTGAAGGAAGATGGGCAATGGGCAAGCGATGCCACTGTGGTGTTTCCTTTTATGATCTTTTCAGTTTTGGGGCACTCTCTGCTGACTGATTATTTATGTATCATAAGAAGTGTCCAGCAAAAGCAATGGTTCAAAACAGGGTGGGACTTAAGACAGGAAATTATTAGACAGGATGCAATACGTTACACATATCACTAACATTCAACAGCACTCACAAATACTTTCTAAACACCTTCTATCCAAGTTAGTTTTGCAAACTTAAGTAATAATTGGGGGCTCTTTCTACACATATCACGTATATAAGCCTCTTTTTGTAAATCAATATAGTTCCTTTTTAAATAACTAATTCTGCCAGGAGTATGACTGAAACAAGAAGGCATTATTTTGAAAGGTTTTATAATAACTGATCTGATGTCCAAACCACAAATATTAAAAAGCAACATGCATCCAACTTTGACACACACAAATGTGTCCTGGCTAAACTAAACCACAGTACAGTAGGGATGTCCCTCAGGCTTCACAGACAAAGAGAATATTAAATGATTAGTTGATGTGACTCACATGTGTTTTTAAAGTAAGGGAAATTCTCCAGATTTTTTTTCTTTTTTTCCATCAACGCCCCTTCTTGGATTTAGGAGCCCAGATAATGTGGAAAGATGGTGATCCTTCAGGCCAGAATATGAATTCCAATTCCAGAATTCCACAGTCTTGTGACCAGCGTATTATATCAACTTTTAAATATGAATTTAAAGTTGCACTGTGCAAAAATATACTCATGGCAGGTGACACCTCATTAGACAAAATAAACAACATGCTGTGCCAATTGAATGACTTTTGTGAATTTGATTCAAGGATTAAGCTTTGACTTCACTAATATTTTGGAAACACTTAATGCACTATATGCGGGTTAGTTACGACACCAAAAGTCACGCGTAAAGGGTTTCCAGTAGTACTGCCAAGTGGTGAATTGGAACACAACGACAAAAAGATTGTTTTCTTTCTGTGATCACGTGCTTCCAAAATGATACAGCAGAATGTGAATTACAGTATATTAATAGCTAATAAGCACGAAAATTGCTCACTTGTAATTTTAGGTACATTTTTTACCACCACCAGAGTATTTGCCACACCGTCAGCCTCGCCTCACTGACCACACCTGGATGGCAGACTTTGCCTACTTAGATACTCAGAGAACTAAGAGTGAGCAGCATCTCCGTAGGTTTGTGCCAAGAACAAACCAAACATTACAATCCAACGAGAATCTCGACACATTAGAAACATGTAGGTAGCCTGCACAGTTAAAGTTTACGCTACGTATAACTTTACAGCCATCAACAAAGCTTAGAGACAATTGTGGTGATACAGTAGACCTCTTAAAGTTACTGGAAACGTGGATGCAGGTGTAGTGTGATATGGGCTCAGTTCGGATTCACTCAAAAACAAACAACAACGCAATTCAGTCATCATAAGATAAATCCCTTCGAATATAAAACGCATACACTAAAAGTAGGATATGTTCTGTTGGATACGGTGGAAAGGTCTAATGTGCAGTTGTAATGGTTTATACACTGGAGAAATCTGACTTTCCTGGCCAAAAACTGGCAGTCTACTGAATTAAAGTTGATGGCGGATCGCTAGTTACCCGTAAGCCCACTATCACCTATGGGCTGGCCGCCAGCCTATTGGACGCCCTCAAGCTGTCCGGGATGCCCTAGAGTTGGCACAGTGAACGTGACGTGGTGTAAGAAGCAGCCTCTTACCTGCTCTGACATTGGCAGCTTGTAGAATTAAAATTAATGTGACCACAGCAATTAGCGTTGAATCCCATATGCACCTTTTCGTTTTCCACCTGGTGGTCCACCTATGCATCTCCATGATAAAAACGCTGTACAGAAAATGGGCGACTTTTGAAAAAAAATTCGGTCCCTTTCACAATCCACAAAAGTGTTCTTATACTACAGCGCCATGTGTGTAAGTCTAAGGGAGTCTCTCACAACCAGTCTTGGCCCTTCAGATCCGCTCCACCTTAAGCCCAGCTCTCAGACTGATGGTAAAGGGCTTTGATGGGAAAAAAAGCGCAAACCCACTCTGTTCCCTGAGAGTAGCGCACCGTCAGGAGGCTGGACAAACGCTGCAACACTGAACCTGAACCGACTGTAAGATACTGACACTGGAAAATCCTCCTTTCATCAAATCAGCAGTCGGGACAGTTGTCTCCGGACCCGCCCCCTGTGCAACAGCGTCAAGCAGAGCATCATCCCAGCGCAAACTAATTATAGGACACAGTATTCTAGATACATACTATCCTAGAAGTGCTCCTGGGCATGTTTCTTTTACAATCTTTTATAAAAATCGAAATAAAAATAGCACAACAAATAAAGAAAATTGAACCAACTTTCCCATCAATAAATAAGCTTATAATAATGGGCATGGAGCAGTGCAGCAGTAGAGGTACTAAACTAAATGTAACATACTAAATGCAAGTTAATTGGTGGGGTGGAGCTGTGAAAAGCATCTGCATGGGCCAATGGCTAATAGGAAAGCCCCAATGGACAAAAATAAGTGTTTCCAGACTAGGAGTTTCCTTGAGGAGCCTTTAGATTTTTTTTCTTTTTTCTTTGGGACAGCAGGGCTCCTGCGGCCTGAAAATAATTAATGAGATGGCAGGAACAAAGAATGGAAGCAGGTGGAAGCTATAGAGTCCACTCCTTGATTTTGTTTTCCTTGTGTACCGATGAAAGACAGATTTAACAGTGCAATGGCAGCCATTGTGACACAAACCCAAACCACATTTCGAAAAAAATAGTCTGCATTTACTTATTTTATCCCAAGGCAGAAATTAGAACCATATATATAGCAGATATTTAGTATGCCGAGGTAAACAGAATTGTGCAGGTGTTGCTAATTAAATACCAAAGTTTGACAATGAATAGTGATTAAGTATTAAACAAATGCAGGTTAAAGGATATATGTCTGCACTTCGTTTTAAAATGAGGTTGAATGCTGTTGTGTGTGTAACTGTGGCTTTGAATAGTTATTTTAGACTCCAGGGTGTGCCGGACTTGTGGTCTGATTTATTAAGGGCCATGGACATTTTGAACATTTTTTATAGGGAAATTTGTTGAGCATATTCAAAATTCAAACACATTCGCATATGGTCCCAACTTTGTCAAGCCACAGTTGTCTACTGTTGGCCACTGTGCAGCTCTACTGGACAAGAGAGGACACCTTGCTCGTGGGCACTTTGGTGGCAGCTGCTGAGTTCGGATCCTTTGACACCAACTTTCCCACCTAACTGAGGATGTAAACTGGTAACTTTCATTTTCATAGCTGACGGCTCTCTCTGCACCTGAGTAGTGATTGCAATAAAAATATGTGATCAAGACAAACATACAATTTCAATGGTTCGAGAATTGACTGCTAGTGTGAGCAAGACTAAAGGTCTATAGTCATGCTAGCAGCTCTGTGAGGCTGCACAGAGCAACATGCTAAATGCTAGCGTTGACAATCAGTTTAGTAGGTAAAATGCTCATTCTGTTTATGCATGACAACGTTTCGTTTATTAACACTAACCACAAAGTACAGCTGAGGTCGAGTCTGATTAGCTTTGCAGGTGTTTAGTCATAAACCAAATAGCATTACAAACATACAGATCTGACCTGATGGTGGTGCTGGAGAAAAAGTAAAGGGATCACCAACATTATTACAATTCATCGTGGCGACAAGAATGCTTGTGCCGAATTTCATTGCAATCTATCAAACAGTTTCCCAAGAGGAAAAATCAGAGTATCACCAAAGTCATAAGGATACTTCGTATCCTATCTTTACAAACGTCGGTGGCAATCCATATCGTAGAAGTCGCGATATTTCACAGAATAGGTGAAAAATTCGACCTGCCGGAGGAAAAGTCAGGGGATGTTTAGATGTTCTAGTCCTGACCAAAATTCGATCATTGTGTGGCTAAAAATGCCAATAGTGAGGGCAAAAACATGATAAAGACAAAACACAGTACCAATGGATTGAAAATTGACTGCTAATGTAAAAAAAGGGTTTGATTTTCACTTTGGAAACAAATGATTTGGAGGAAATAACTCACTAAATGGAGCGTACTTTTTTACAATCATACTCAAAAAAGAAATATGATCAGAAAGGGGTCACAAAATGTTGGGTGGGATAGAATTTTTTGATGTTGGAATGTCTGAACTGCAGTATTTGCATTTATCTATGAACTTATGTTTTCTCAGCAGAAAACAAAATGAAACCTTTCTTGAGCACAGCCTGGTTGTGCTTATTGTTTTTCTGGCAGGTGGTTGACCTTTTTTGTCATTTGGTTCAAAGTTGTTTGGCAGAAATCATCAGAACCTCTTGTTCATGTTGCTTCCTGGGATTGTGGCCCAAAATGTTTGGTTAAATTTGACGAGCCTGCCTGCATTGGCAGAGACTAAATCTGAACAACCAAAACTAAAGTCTTCATTTTTCCTTTCAAACAGGACTTGGACAGCCAACAGACGTCCAGCAGCTCCTTATAGATTCTTGTCTCCTGGAGCAGTCTACAATTTTCAGGAAGACTTGACTTTAGAGCTGCCTACTTGGTAGATGCATATGATTACAACTGATGCATTCACTGCCAATGTGTTCAGGGATGACATTGTATAATTATTCTACAATAAGTATGTATACTCTGCATGGTTCAGCCCAGAGCAGCTATAAAAACAAAAATGTCTTGAAAATGTTGCCCGGCTGTGTTTTTCTATTGGAGGCAGCTTTTAATTTGAGTGCTTTCATGTTTCAGAATAAAATTCTCCTCGCTGCTTTTCATGAACAGCAGACTGACACACCTCTCTGCAGATTTACAGTCACTTGAGTTCAAGGGTTTAGGACTAAAAGTTCTCTCAAATGCACGACAGACGCATTGTCTCTAAGTCGATACATTAATTGTGAATTATGATGCCTATGAAACACCATACAGTGTCCAGGAATCAACCTTCCATTCAATGTACACCTTAATGATTACTCTTTTTATTTGCTTCCACCACATGGCAGTCTGCAAGGTGCTCTTCACCTGAATAACAGTGAGCTTTTAAACCCAGGCCTCAAGTTGAGTGATTCCCTTCTTCGATATGCCTAAACAGCTGCAGTAAGGACAAAGTCAAACCGGGTCCTCTGATCTCAGATGTCCTCTATCAGATCACAAGTAGATGTAACCTCAAGAGCTCCTCGTTACTATGAATTAGAAAGCTAGAAGGCAGTGTTTGGCTTGGGGGTAGAGAGGGATGCAAACTAGACACTGCAGACCGCATAACCACTGAGTGGAATGTATGTTCGTCTGGGCATGCTTGTTATAGGTGCATGTGGTACCCAGACAGCCTCGCCTAGTAGGGGTTTGCTAGGAGGTGGGAAGGTGTGCTTTCAATTTCACATTTTCTAAGGTCACCTGGTTTTATCTTACAAAGTCATCTCTTGCTGTTCTACACGCTGACATGGTGCACAGAGGAGAAAAGAAACAGCCGACACAACGCCATAGGAGACAGCATTATTGGCACCTGTGTCGATCCAACCATATTGCAGAATAAGCACATGCATTAGACAATCAGCCCAATATGTCCATGACATCAGGCATAATTCCACTCTATAATACAGGACTCTTTTCAACACAGCTGCCCACTGCCTTTTATTTCCTTCTATTACTGTAAACACAGACTCTGACAGTGTAATCAAAAGAAAAAAATACTCTGAAAATACAGACTACTGCACAAGGTATGAGTCTTTAAAACACTCCAAGAAAGAATAACAAGACTAAAGGTGAGTTCCAATACCCATTGTACCATAATATCTAGTAAGCCTGAATAAATGATGTCCCAATACATAGTATGTCAAATGCAGTACGCCTTTTGCAATATGCAAGTCAGAATGCTTTCCTGGCTATTCGGACCCACAATCCTCTCTGCACATTGTAAGATAAGTCTCATTGACTAGATAGCACAGACAGATGACAGCCTGATGACAGCTCATTGAAATTTGCGGAATGTTATGACAAATTAGTATGTTCCAATTGTATGCTTACTACATGGAACAGCGCATCATTTGTAAGGGCAGCTGCAGTACGTATTAAAAGTAAAAAGAAAAGGTATGCGATTTCTAAAGCAGTTTTCAGCCACGCTCGCAACTTTATTACGCTGTGCTTCTGCACAGTAGTCCTTTCTGGCAATTTTACTGACATCAGCACGATAGCTTGCTCACAAAGCTAACATAATACTTTTTAGCAGGTATAATGTTTACCATGTTCACTATCTAGTTTAGTGTGTTTGCATGCCAACACCCGCTAATTAGCACGAAACAAAAGGTACAGCTGAGGCTGACCATAACGCCTTCTGAGGGGGACATGAAAGCCAGTACCAAATTTCATGTCAATCCATCCAGTAATTGTTGAGACATTTTACTAAAACCCAAATGTCCACCTGGCACTAGAGGAAAAGTCAGGGAATCACTATCAGTGAGATTCATCCTCTAGGAACAATGAACATCTGTTCCTTGGCTATCCATGCAGTAGTTGTTGAGATATTTTAGTTGAGAACAAAATGGTGGACTGACTGACAGACCGCCATCGCCATCACTAGAGCCATGCCACTAGCATAGCAAAAAGAAATCACTAATATACACATATTGAGAGATTCTACACTAGATTTGAGTGTTTTTGGCTCCTGAAGAGCGAGCAAACACTGCAGGAACTTTGATTGTAAAAACATAAACAATTAAACTTACAGAATAAATCTATATGACAAGAACAAAACTGCATGATAAAGGTGCAATTTGCTGGTATAGAGGTGGGTCCAAGAAGTAGATATCAGATATCACAGCGATCAACCTCCAAGTGTACTAGAGGAGTGCCATAGATGAAGAGAGGCCATGCTATTTTCATGTTTCTTGTCAAGTCAGTGTGATGAATGCCTTTCCTCTCAGCAGAGAACTGAGTGTTATGGAGAGTTAAGTGGAGAGGTCTGTGATAATGTAAACATACCCCAAGCATCTCGTATTTCACGAGTCAAAGTCTCCCTGAGCGCCGTCTCCAGCCGTCAGCAGTAAAAACTGATAGCGGCGAGGGACTGGCTGACACTCACTGTGGAA